GGTAACGAACCATGTATTACTACGTAGATTAATATAAACAGGGTTAATGTAATTTTTAAGAACTAGTTGGGAGGAACCCTAAGCTAAGGTCAAGTTTTCGTAATTAATAAGAAATCTCCATGTCATTATTTGGGAGCTGGCACTCCAAAGAAAATCCTGCTGTACAACACTCTGCTCTAGATGTAACAAAGGACAGAACAGGTTCGGTAGATTAAAAAAAAAAATCAGGAGAGACCAGAAGACAAATATTTTGGCAAGCTACTATAAATGATCAGAGAACAAAGCTAAAAATACACATAAATGGCATTAAAATTAAGGGTTTGGTAAACAAAAGATGTTAACAATAATTTCACCAAAATCTTGGCATCCAGATTGGCCTCTTCAGGAGGTAAATATTCAGCTTCTAGGGACTGGAACTTTATCTCAGATAAAACAAAGTATAAGATGTGTCAAATGTATAGAGCCAGAAGGACAAAGAGGAAAACTAAAGCTATACGTGGCTTTATGAATTAATGGGGATGTCATTTGCTACAGCAATGGAAAAAACATATTAACATTCCTTCAATCTCAGAAACAAAATAAAAGAATGCTTCTGAGAAAAAAATTTTAAAGGTATTATCACAGTCACAGACTCTTCAGGTTGTACATAAACAAGACACAACAGCTGTTGGTCTTTCAAAAGTACCAACAACCCAACCTTTAAAACAGTTGACTGACGCCGGGCGATGGTGGCGCACGCCTTTAATCCCAGCACTCGGGAGGCAGAGGCAGGCAGATCTCTGTGAGTTTGAGGCCGGTCTGGACCGACAGCTTCCAAAACAATACAGAGAAACCCTGTCTCGTAAAACCAAAACAAAAAACAAAAACAAAAAAAACAGTGACTGACAAACCTATATCAGAAAAATTACAGGAACTAGAACAGCTGGTACAGGATCAGCTAAATGCTCAACATATTGAAGAATTGAGCGGCACTTGGAATTCTCCTATATTTGTCATAAAAAGGAATATGGAAAATGAAGAATGTTAACATATTTAAGAACCATAATAAGGTGATTCAGCCAATGTGCTCTTTACAGCCTGGAATTCCTTTGCCTTCTTTATTACCTAAGTTATAGTCTATTGACTTAAAAGACTGGTTTTTTTGTTTTGTTTTGTTTTTTACTATACCTTTACAAGAACAGTTCCTACTTATAATAACGTCAACCTTTTAAAAGGTAGCAGTGGAAAGTTCTTCCACAAGAAATGTTAAATAGCACCACCTTGTGTCCATATTTTGAACAACAACCACTAGAGCTAACTCATAACCAGATATCTTGCTGACTGAAGCAGATGTAGATACCTTAGGAGAGAAAATGTTTGATGGAGAGAATTTTGCCTTGTTGGAGATTACAAGTAGCTCCTGAAAAAATACAAAGAGGAGATTCTGTCAAGTATATGGATATATGATAGATTTGCAGGAAATTCAACCACAGAAAATACAAATCAGGAGAGATCAATTACAAACTCTTAATGATTTTCAAAAAATTAACTGGGGGATATTAACTGATTATGACTACTCAATTGGATTGACAACTCAAGAACTAAGTATTTCAAACCTTACAAGGTAATAAGGATTTAAATAGTCCAAGAAAAATATCAACTGATTGGCTTTGGTAGAAATTATAGGATGCATATGTGAATCACTTGGATCCAGAGCTTGATTATATTTTAGTTATTTTACCTTCTACTCATTCTCCCACAGGAATTGTAATTCAGAGAAAAGATAATATCTTAGAATAGAGCTTTTTTAGCACACCTAGTTAAAAAGTGAAGATGTATGTAGAAACATTTTTTTAATTGATTCTAAAAGGAAAAATGAAACTTCATCAATTAGGAGGGATAGATCCAGTGAAAATTGAGGTCACTTTTACTAATGCTGAAGTTGTCTCATTGTGGGCAGAAAATGAACATTGGCATATTGCAGTAATATTTTGGAGAAATAAACAACATATATCCCCAAAGCAAAAGATCTCAGTTTATAAAAAGAACTAATAGGATTCTTCCTCATATAGCAAAAGACACACCAGTTTCTAGAGCCCCTACATTCTACACTGATGCAAATAAATCAGGAAAGGCAGGTCAGGAAAAATAAGTAAAGTGGCTCAAAGCCCTTATGGTTCAGTTACAAAAAATAATAGCTGTATGCCACTCTTATGGTGTTATTATATTTTCCTGAATATCTTAATATAGTTACTGACACTTAATATGCAGAAGGAGGTTTTTTACATGTTGAAACCACTGGACTTAATCCAGATGATTCAAAATTAACTTCGTTTTTTATTCAACCACAACAAGTAATCAGCAACAGAAATTATCCAATATATACAACACATATCAGATCCCATATGGGCCCTCTAGCACAAACTAATGATGAAACTGATCATCTATTAATAGGAAATGCACTAGAAGCCTCAGAATTTCGTAACCTGGATCCATCCCCCCTATAAAATATCTATTTAGTGTGTGTGTGTGTGTGTGTATTTATATGTATTTGTTTCATGGCACACGTGTGGAAGTCAGAGGACAACTTGAAGGAATTAATTCTTTTTTTTTTTTTTTTTTTTTTTTTTGGTTTTTCGCGGCAGGGTTTCTCTGTATTGTTTTGGAGGCTGTCCTGGAACTCACTCTGTAGACCAGGCTCAGCCAGTGATCTTAACTGTCATCTTTCCAGCCACCCACTATGGTCTTTTTAAAGACTCAATACCTTAACTGTCCAAACAGAATATCACACAGCTGTCCACCCCATCTGTAGACATAACTCCAGCACTGAAGTGGTAGAAATAGAAGGATCAAGAGTCCAAGGCCAGCTTCAGGAACAGAGCAAGTTTGAGGCCATCCTAGGATACAAGAGACCCTGTCTCAAAAAAAAAAACAATAGTTTATGGCCATAACATACAGAATGCACTTGATCTCATCTGATCAAAAAACAACGCATAAATCTTATAAGTTCAATAGAGCACATTTAAACCATGTTAAGTATTCTGTCAGTGAATGTTATTTAGCTTATGCTTGAGCACCTCCATTCTAAAAGAGCCTATCTTGTTAGGGCTCTGCATCATGGTGCCTAACGATAAAATACACAAACAGTTTGCAAATTTAAGAATTTTAGTACTATATTAATGTCAGTGATAATATCCCTTAAAATAGCATGAGTAACCAGAAGCCCTGAGCAGCCTTTGCCAAAAGAATGTGTCAGACTTTCTGGTTAAAGAAGGCATTTAATCCCTGATCTGGGCTGGAAAGATGGATCAACGGGTAAAGTGCTTGCTGCTCTGTCATGAGAACCTCGGTTCAAATCAAATCCCCAGTGCCAAGGAGAAATACAGCCTAACCAAATCACTGAGGTCCAGGTTTAGTGAATAACCCTGTCTCAAAACAAGGTGGAAAGTGGGGTAGTAAAGGAATTCTCAGTAGTTAAAAGCCCTTACTGCTTTGGCAGTTCCCAGTACTAACACAGTGGCTCACAAACACCTGTAATCCACCAGTAATCCAGTTTCAGGGGATCCAAAGCTCTCTTCTAACCGGGAGCTCCAGTACACATCACACACACACACATTTTATTTCTTTTAAAGGTAGAGAGTAGCCAGGCATGGTGGTGAACCCTTGTAATTCAAGTGCTTGGGAGGCAAAGATAGGCAGATCTGTGTGTGTGTGTGTGTATGTTCCAGGCCAGCCTGGAAATTCAAGATAGCCAGGGGACAACCTAGTTAGCAAATCTATTGTTATAGGACTTACCCTGAGAGCATAGAGTTGCCAACAATATTGTAAAGGCATTGATTGTGTGGCAATAATGAAGACTAAGCTAAAGACTCGGAGACTTGAGAAAGACCCCCCAACCTGATAACTAGTTGCTTCTGAACACTGTTCTGCCTTCAATTATTTAACGGTATTAGTGTTTATCTATGTATTTTGTGTTCTGGACATGAAAGTCAAAAACCAAAATAACCTTCTGCCTTGGCAGATGAGTTGCATCAGTTGATAGGTAAAAATGTCCTTCTTTAATCCTTCATATATTCCTGAATATTGTAACAAAGTACTTCGGGAAATAGCTCTTTATAGTAACTGACAAATAAGATATTTAATGACAATTAAGAGATTTAAGTGTAAGCTATGAAATACAAGAAAATTCTACAATGAATGCCGAAAGTACAGTGGCTGCTGAACTGTTTAAGACAGTGAACACATGCCCACAAAACCCTAGTTTTCAGAATGGGGGGGCGGAGGAAACTAGAGCACTGTGTTACATGTTTAGATATGTCCTTGGTAGAATTTCACAACTATCCTATTGCATGGACCCAGTTATATATGGGAAGATAGTCTTTAAAAACAAGGAGGGAAGAAGGGAAGAGAAGAGAGCTCAATCCTAGAGGTAAAATAGCTAACCCAAGGTTAATTAGGAGTAGCAGAGACAGGATATAAACACAAAGCTTTTTGATTACTCAGCACTTTGTCTATGCAAATCAAACACAACATCTTACTAAGAGCATGTATACACATTTCTTACTGTGCCTTGTTTTAATACACAGAGCAGACACTAAAATGTAGGTAAATGAAGGGAGACTATACCCTATGGCAAGGAAGTAAAAATGGGTTCAAGTTTGGCCAGTGGAAAACATTCATCTTTTAATAAATGAGATAGATATGTACCAGAGAAAAGTAACCCCAGAAAGACCTTGTACATGTAAGGTCTTCTTTTTCTTTTTTTTTTTTTTGGGGGGGGGGTTTCGAGACAGGGTTTCTCTGTGGCTTTGGAGGCTGTCCTGGAACTCGCTTGGTAGTCCAGGCTGGTCTTGAACTCACAGAGATCCGCCTGCCTCTGCCTCCCGAGTGCTGGGATTAAAGGCGTGCGCCACCAACGCCCGGCGTAAGGTCTTCTTTTAAAATAACCCATGAATCAACTATGATTCCACCGTTGTCAGTGATTGATTATTATATCTTATGTAAACAGAAACAACTGGAAGTGCAATCTAAGTTTTTTTTTATTGAGGCACAACAAGGCATTGTAACTTGTCTGAAGTTGAGGCAGTCAGTTCAGTAAGCGGACCATTAACACAGTTGAGGGTTAAGTGCAAACAATACACATTCACTGTGTGACTAGCAAGGCTACATCACAATTTATAAAGTGCCAGATTAGTGCTAATTGTTATTCCGCTCCAAAGTTTTCACATAAAGAGAAAAACAAAAACATAAGGACCTCCTTCTTCCTCTTTAAACAAAATATTTTTCCAAACCAGTCAATCACCAGGGCAAGGACTACTTTTCCTTAGATTCACTAGTGAGAACTTCATTCTTTTACTCTGAACTGTATTTCAATCTTGATAAAGAAGGTAGCCTGAAAATGTAGAGTATTTCCAGCTACTTCCATAAATCGCTCCCCTGTGTAAACGCAACCATATCTGGTCTCCCTGGAGGAGCTGGAGAATGGCATGGTTGCTAGCTGTCTCATGGTCTGGAGCACCATCATTGGCATAGGCTGACACCAAGACCTCCTCATTCTTCATGAGATTGACATACAGCGGTACATTCACAGCCAGTTTTAGCATGTGGAAAATGAATACATATGTGCCATTCACTGGGCAATTGAATCTACCAAGCTGAAGATCAAAGGTTTCACCCAAATTGTTCAGGAGAAGATCAAATACAATAGGTTGGTCTAAAGTTCCAGGAGCCAGATTGGATGTTCTGGCAGCTGAGAAGGCAACTCGCATTTGCTGAGGCAGGGGATAGACGTGTACTGGAAGGATGGCAGCTGCTGGGCTTGTCACAGGCACATCCACAGGGGTCATGCTCCGGGAGTCTCCTTGCCCAGAGTCTCCACTGTTAAAAGTCTCGCTGTCTCTCTCTGGGCTGCTCACCTGAGAGGAGTCGCTCCACCCTGCTGTTCATCAATAACAGTGAGTTTTTTAGTGAGGCTTTAGCTTTCACAGGTCATTTAACATTAGTCAGTTAGTAAAAACACAAGATTCCAAAACAAAAGCAATAAAATACAGCCAGAAGGCCCAAGGAAATCTTGAGTTGATTGATTTCTTTTTAAAGGTCAAGAAAATGTGCCTTCCTCCCCAAATTGAGTAATTTACCAAAACTCAGTAACAAAGATTAAAATCAGATTGGGACACTTTTTACTTTTCTTTCTTCTCTCATTTAGTTAATTTTTCAGTGACAAATCTTCTACTCAAAGTAGATAATATACAAGGACTCAAGAAAATTTAAAATTAGCTAAAAGATATCAGCTTTTAGAACTACCAACTAAGCCATTCAGAGATGTTCTGACAGGAGGACTAAGTCCCAAGGCAAATGCTTGGTTCTCTTTTCAAGTTAATGTTACAATGTTTTAAAAGTGTGTGTGTGTGTGTGTGTGTGTGTGTGTGTGTGTGTGTGTGTGTATACACATGTAGGTGTAGGTACCCATGTACATGTATAAGAAGTCAAGAGGTTGGCATCAGATAGCTTTCTCAGTCCCTCTCCACCTTATTTTTTGAGGTAGAGTCTCTCATTGACCCTGAAACTCACAGAATGACCTGGCAAGCCTCAGAGACCTGCCCACTACCACTAGGATTACTGGTCACTGTCACAGAATCTAGCTTTTTACATGAATGCTGGGAATCTCAACTCAGATCTTCATGCTTGCATGGTAAGTACTTTACCCAACATAGCCATCTCCCCAGACCCAAAATAATAATGTTTTAGGTGCTGTGTGAAAAACACTGCTCAATATGATCATTTCCTCAAAATAGGAAGACTGCTTTGCTTTGAAAAAATGTCTCTTTACCAGGAGGTGGTGGTGCACGCCTTTAATCCCAGCACTTAGGAGGCAGAATCAGGCAAATCTCTGTGAGTTTGAGATCAGCCTGATCTACAAAGGGAGTTCCAGGACAGCCAGAGCTACACAGTGAAACTCTGTCTCAACAAACAAAAAAAGAAAAAAAAATGTCTCTTTAGTAATCTTTTATTTTTTTTAAGTAACTCTTTTTCAATTACACTAAATCATTTAATGGTCTCTTCTCATTAGCAAATTGTGAATAAGTACACTATCCTGTTTTTTAACTGCTGCTTATTCAAATCTATCAATGGTATAAATCATACCAATTATTTTTAAAGCCATCATCATTCAATTCTCAGCACCCATGTAGTTGTTCACAACCATCTGTAGCTCCAGTTCTATAGGATCAGATTCCTTATTTGGACCTTAAAAGTCACCAGACATGCACATAGTGTACAAATATACACGCAGGCAAAACACACACACACACACACACACACACACACACACACAAATGAATAAATCTAAAAAGAAAAAGAAAAAACTCATTTTTGAACCATCAGACTCAACCTAAAATTAGCATGGGGATTTGTGTCAAAGGTTAAATTATGCTCACATTTTTAAAAAAAGAACATTTTTTTAAGAAACATACACAATTGAATTGACAGTTTTCATATCCTTCTTGGTAGTCTACTGCTTCATACAATACTTTAGAATTACAGATCAACAAAATGAAACTTCAATGGATAAATGCTGAAAGCAATGTGCTTTAAAGAAAAATTGACAGAGGATGCAGTAAGATACAAGCATACTTTGCATAAATCTGTACAAGTAATTACCCTTACCTTTTGAATTGGCCTGAAGACCACTAGATGTCCCTGATCTTTTATAACATTGCTGGAAATGATCCTAAAATGAATACATGAATATTTAACTTGGCACCAAAAATACAGATTAATTGGCATTTAGGGAACACCATGAAAAAACACAGTGCTGAGTAATGATGGAAATTCAGAAGCAGAGATAGCCTCTGTCAATCATCTTAATATAAAAGAGTACAGTAAAGCAAGAAGAGCACATAAATTATTCAATATGACCCAGTTTGTAAATCAAATGTAAAGACTAGGGTCATCGAGAAGTCTTAATGGATAAGACACTGTCACCAAGCCAAAGTGACCTGAGTTAAATCTTTAGAACCTACATGATAGAGATAATCAATTCCTAAAATTATCCTCTGACCTCTATACTTGTTCCATGGTATGTATGTATGTATGTGTATATATATATATATATATATACATATATATATATATATATATACACACACACACACCACAGAAATAAGTAAATAACAAAGTTTTAAAAGAAAAATATTGGTGTAACCCAAACATAACCATGACAGAAAGTTTACAAGGTTTGCTAAAATGGAATATCTAAATCAGTTTTGTCAGATATAAGGAAGACAATTTATTGAGTGATCAAATCAGAATAAACAAAACAGCTTAACTTGTAAAGATGAACTCTGCTATTATATATAACAAGTTAAGTTGAAGGTAATTTAGCGACAAATTTTTTAAAATTTATTTATTATGTATACAATCTTCTGCCTGCATGCAACAGAGGGCATCAGAACTCGTTCAAGGTGGTTATGAGCCACCATGTGGTTGCCGGGAATTGAACTCAGGACCTTTGGAAGAACAATCAGTGCTCTTAACCGCTGAGCCATCTCTCCAGCCCCCATGCAACAAATTTTTTTTAAAAATCATTTGCAATGTAATTTTTATCCCATTTACTTGTTGTGTGATCGCAAACAAGGAATTTACCCTCTGGACCTTTTCCTACACAGTGGAAGAGTAAATGAGCTTATGTGAACACGTACAGTACTTTATACTTTCAAATTCCTTCTTCCCTTGATGATAGGGAAAATGTTCACCAGTCTAACATCCACAACTGTTCCACAGTTCAGTAGCAATAACTACTTACCCTCTGAGTGTAAGGTGTTCCCGCATATTCTCTAGCTTGCAGCTGCAGATGGCTATAATTCCCATTGGAAGTTGAAGGGGGTCCTCTGTAACTATCGAAACCTAATTAATATATAAACAAACAGCATACATAAAATAATGGGAAATAAAGCTCACTAAACTCTTTGGCTCTAAACTAAAGGGAAAATTTTGGACAGATCTTACAATGTCACCACTAGATGTATGTCTTCTTTTTTTGCTTCTATAGACTGAAATTTTATTACTGACTTGGTTGGCCTTTCCTTCTTGCCTTTGTAGAGGACCAATAGAGAGAAACAGGCTACTTTAACAACCTTAAAGCAGACTCCAAGAATAACAACTAAAGTATAACTTATATTTGGCAGGTTGTTTTTTTGTTGCTGTTTGGTTGTTTTGGGGGAGTTGTTTTGTTTTAGGTGGGTTCTTGTTTTGGTTTTGGGTTTGGGTTTTTTTGCTTGGTTTTTTTGTGGATTTTTTTTTTTTTTTTTTTTTGGTTTTTCAAGAGAAAGTTTTTCTATGTAGCCTTGGCTGTCCTGGAATTTGTTTTATAGACCAGGCTAGCCTTGAACTCAAGAGAGATCTGCCTGCCTCTGCCTCCTGAACAACGGTATTAAAGGCATGAGACACCACCACCCAGCCAGCATGACCTTTTTGACCAAATCCAGCAACCAGAACTTCATCATTTTGCTCAATTAAGTTCAAGCAACCATCAATGAACACAAATGCTGATACTCTTGCTATTTTTGATAACCCATACTCTGACACACTTCCTGGTAGAAGAATTTGGCTATTTGACTTCAATCCCTGATTTTTCCAGCACAATTCCCTTTGCATGAGAAACACCTCCAAAAGGATCAGCCTCTAGAGGCTCAAGTGGGCTTTCATTATTGTCATATCACTTCTGGTCCTGTCAGAGACTGGTGTAAGGAGACTACAATTTTTTCCCACCTTGTTGGGGCCATGAGACAGAGTGAAAGAGACCCGTGTCTTTTTTAAGTAAAAACACACTAAAATGTTTCTATAGCAAAATACCATAATTCTGCTATTAATTAATTAATTCATTTATTTTTGTTTTTGAGACAGAGTTTCCCTGTGTAGTCTTGGCTGTCATAGAACTCCCTCTGTAGACCAGGCTGGCCTCAAACTCGGAAATTCACCTGCCTCTGCCTCCCAAGTGCTGGGGTTAAAAGCATGTACCACCAGTTGTAATGCTATTGAAAAACACAAGTTGGGCTTGGGTGAGGATGAGGCTAACATAATTAGGTACTTAAAACCTCAGCATCAAGTCCTTTTGCTAATATAAATATGCCACCAGGATACTTGAAACCATAACTAAATCTTAAGAGTCTACTATGTGAACTCAAATTCTCTTGTTCTTATCTGCAATGTACTTTCAAAATAACTTGAAAATGAGCCTTGTCTGATTATGACACATTTTAAAAGTTAAATCAATCAGTAAAGATATCATTCAAATATAAAAATCAAAATCCCCCTTTAAAACCAAGCTGATCAAACCCTCTTCTTCAGTAAACCCCAGGATCAATCTGCTTTGCAGACAGCAAGTCTATTGCAGAAAACGGCTATATTAGATATGCTGGAGGGCCAGAGAGATAACTCAATGCTTAAGAACACTGGTTGTTCTTGCAGAGGAACAGGGTTCAGACACCAGCAATAAATGATAGCTCACAACTGTCTGCTACTCCAGTTCCAGGAGATCTGACAACCTCTTCTGGCATCTGCAGGTACTGCACTTATATTCAGGAAAACACTCATGAATAAAACACAAGTAAAAAATTTTTTGAAGCACTCTATTACCTACTAATAGACAATTATACATGGAAATGACAGAACAAAGTCAAAATTGAATCCAGTTTGAGTCAGGAAAAAATATACATATATTAACTCAATACACTAGATTCAAAACATACCTTTGTAGCCACCAGGAGGCCGATACGAATTCATTAGTAACCTCCCTCCATGTGTACATCCTCTCACAGACCCCCGACTACTGATGAATGGCTGAGCAGGTCTGGGAAACATACTCGTGGGTGCTGGGTAAAAGGCAAGGTTACCATTGCTTACTTGAACAGTTGCATCAGGATGGTAACCTGCAACTTAAAGAAACCAATTTAAAGTCCAAGAATTAAATGGTAATGAAGTCCCCATGTTATCAACATATATCAATATATATATATTGATATAGATGTGACACACACACTCCTAACCTGTATTTCCTCCCTTTAAAAACATGTATCAGAAACAGAATATTACTCAGTTTATAGAGGAAGGAAATTTGGCACCTGTCATAGTATGAATGAGCCTTGAAGGTGTTATAGTAAATGAACTAAGTTAGAACAAGAACAAGTATATGATGCCACCTCACACGAGGTAGCCAGAGTAGTCAAAATCAAAGTAGGAACCAACAACTCTAAAGCAGCCACTCATGTTATACCTCTTCACAGTTCAAATCAGGGGGCAGGAGAGATGCTTCAGCAGTTAAGAGCACTTGCTGTTCTTTCAGAAGATCCCAGAACCTACATCAGGCAGCTCACAACTGCCTGGAATCATAGTTCAAGGAGATCCAATGCTCTCTTTTGGCCTCCATACACATGTGGTACACACACACACACACACACACACACACACACACACACACACACACACACACCACATAAATAAAAATAGATCTTTAAAATAATAGTTCAAGATACTGAAGAGACAGCTGAACAGTTATGAGCACTAGTTTCTCTTATGGAGGCTCTGGGTTCCATTCCCAGCATTTATGTAATGGCTCACAATCATCCATTAACTCCAGTTCCAGGGAATCTGATGCCTTTTCTGACTTCTGAAAGTATCAGGACTTGCAGGCAAAACCTTCATAAATGTAAAAAGATAAATCTTTTTTTTTTTTTTAAAAAAGGGGGAGGTTGTTTTTTGAAAGTTCCAGGGCCAGGGTACTCCAGGAATTCATTGAGTTAGCATGTGGTGCTTATACAGAATACATGCAGAGGTCTTACCAGTCTCTGGAGGTTGGGATGTCTGTTCTATACATATAGCTGGGAGTTGGCATTGGGTTATTGTCTGTGTACTCGTTGAGGTAAAATTTTGATTGTAGCCAGGTGAATAAGAGGATTCTTTCATTTCTTGTTCTTTCAGTGAAGGGAGAGGTGCTTTAACATTGAACACCTTAAAATAAAAAAGAGCACACAAAACCACTGGGTATGATTCAAAGGAAATGCCTCAATAATATTTGTACAACTCTACCAGATTCTAAGGCATTAGATGAGCAAAGGATTCGAACAGACATTTCTCCAAAGACAACAAACAACTAAGAGGCACATGAAAGCCTGATCATCAACAGTCATCAGGAAAATGCAAACCAAAACCACTTTGAGATATCACCTCATATCCACTGGGTCTACCACTGTCCAAATATGAAAAACAAGATTAAGCAAGGAGGAGAAGAAACTGGACCCTCATTACTGGTGGGGAGGTAAAAATGGTACAAGCACCATGGAAAACAGATGATGACTCCTTATAAAGGCAAATATAAACCCACTAGTTTCATGTCTAGGTATCCACCCAAAAGAAGTGAAAGACCTGAACAAATATGATATGACCTCAGTAACATTACTCCTGAGTAAAATGTAAAAGAACCTGAGTAAAATGAAACACAAATTTTAAATATAATTCAGCCATAAAAAAGAATGAAAATATGATGTATACTGCATATCCAAAAACATCATGATAATTGAAACAAGCTAGAAGGAGAGAACCAACAAAAAAAATTGTCCTCTGACCTCCACATGCATGTAGATGTGCACCTGCTCTGCACATGCTAATAAAGAAAATTAATATATATATGGTTTCACTTCTAACTAGAGTAAGTAACTTCATAGAAGCACAAGTAGAATAGACACTGGGAATTATGATCTAATGAGTGTTCTAGTTTACTCTCTGTTGCCGTATAAAACACTCTGACCAGTGTTTTATTTATAAAGAAAATTTATATGAGCCGGGCAGTAGTGGCGCACACCTTTAATCCCAGCACTCGGGAGGCAAAGGCAGGTGGATCTCTGTAAGTTCGAGGGTAGCCTGGTCTACAGAGTGAGTTCCAGGACAGCCTCCATAGCTAAAAAGAAACCCTGTCTCGAAAAACAAAGAAACAAACAAAAAAGAATTTATATGGCTTACACTTAACTGTTACTTGAAAGCAGGCCTGCTTGCTATTCCACCTCTCACCAAGGAACTCAGTCACAGACAAGGAAGTATGGTAGAAACCGTAGAGGAATGCTGCTTGATGGCTCATTCTCAGGCTCATTCTAGGCTCTTGCTAACCTAGTTTTCTTACACAGCTTAAGACCACCTGCCTAAGGAACACAGACCACATACACACACAGAACCCACACACACACATGCTTGCCTTTGACCTCAGAAGTTGGGAGGTAGAGACATGTACATCTCCGAATTCAAAGCCAGCTAGGCCTAAGTTCCAAGCCAGCCAGGGCTACAAAGTGAAACCCTGTCTCAAATAATTAAACAGTAAATAAATATTGCAGTGCCAAACCCAGGGATAACTCCCTCTGAGTAGGAAATCAGGAAGACTCCAAACAAACACAGGGTATTGCCATTGCTCTTGGTTGCCTACTAAATGGCAGGGCCCTATTGCTGAAGACACCATTCACTTTGGATGAGGGACATAGAAAAGTCTACCTGACTAGGAAACTCTCTCCCTTCTGGCTTGTTTACATAGAGCCAGAAGGTGCTGTGGGAGTTACTAGAGGAGAAAAAGACCTAAGTCTCACCGTGCAATGGATCCTCCATGTCACAAAACCAACCAGGCAAAATGAGTCAACTGATGCCATAGTGGCACAATGGTTATTAGAGTAGCATGTTACTTCTGACTGGATATGAGGCCTGTACCACAGGAGGGGTTCACAGTGGTACTGTAAATCTGCTCAAAAGTTGCTGCTAGTGTTTCATGATATATTTATTGTGTCAAGCAACTTTCTAAATATTTCTGTTTATACCCATCGATTTATGTTGCTTTGAACTTTGATAGAGAAGCTTCTTTTTGCAGTGGGTAGTGGTCAATGCAGACACTAGCTAAGCATAAGTGACTGCGAGAACCTAGATGTAGAAACATCATCTTTATCAACCTCCCTTCATCCTAGGCACAGAGAACATGGTGGAAGATGGGGTAGACAGAATTTAAGAGCTGGTAGATGAGAACAGGAGCTGAGAAATGATGACTTTTGAACATGACATGGTTGTTGCACACATCAACTCACAGTAGGTGTGGTCACCTGCATAAAACCTACACAAGATCAAGCTAGTCAAAATTTCAGCATGGATGAAGGAGGGGTCCCCAGGCTCCATCATCGACAGAGGGAACTACTGGTAGCCAATGAATGCAGAGGAAGAGGCAGTCACCATCCTTTGGGGATGTGACCACTAGCACATTACTCAATCCCAAGGAATGGCCTCACACACATGCACATATAGGCAACATTAAGTGGACTCAATGTTATTACTGACAATAGCCATGACATTAGAAAGGAGATAAAGATGGGGGTCTCAGAGGAAACTGGGGTAGGGTAGTGGCTATAAAGTAATAGTGAATAGATAGGATCAAAAGAGATTATAGAAATTTATAAATTTTTCAAAGAATAAATTTTTAAAAGACTTTAAAAACTTCAAAGGGAGAAATTCTGCATAGTATATACACAAGATCCTAGGTTCACTCTCCAGCAAGAAAAGAAAACAGTTATTAAATTTTTACCATGCAGGAGTCTCCCAGACACCTAAGCACAAGTTGTGAGCTAGCACTTCTGTTTCCCTTCGCCTTACCTACTCTGATGTCTCTGTGTACAGTACACATAACTGATGTGAGTAACTGTCTCTCATCTCTCTGGTTCTCTCCCTTCCATAGTAAAAGACCAACTGCCTAAATAACCTCAGTGGTTTGTTTTGCTTTACATTTCTATACCTCTGGTGAATAAAAAGAATTCCTGAGCCAGTATGATGGAATATACCTTTAATCCCAGCATTTAAGAGGCAGACAGATCTTTTTTGATACAAGGACAGTCTGGTCTATATAGCCAAGTTCCAGGCTAGCCAGCATTACATAGTGAGACCTTCTCTCCAAAACAAAAAAACCCTGTATCAAAACAAACAAAAAATAGTGCCTAGATCAATCTCTGTAAGTTCAAGGTCAGCCTAGTCTACATAGTGAGTTCTAGAACAGCCAGGATTACATAGTGAGACCCTGTCTCCAAAAAAAAACAAAAAAAAACCAAAAACCTGGTATGTGCTTTAAAAAGAAGACTCGGCTTCTAGGGGATGCTCTGCTCCTGTAGAGGACTATAGTTACAGGTGATCTAATGCTTCTGGCCTCTGAAGGCACCACCTGCACTCCTATGTACATACCCGCACACAGACACATACACATATTTAAAAATAGCAAAAATAAATCTTTAAAAATAAATAGGGCCAGGCGGTGGTGGCGCACGCCTTTAATCCCAGCACTCGGGAGGCAGAGGCAGGCGGATCTCTGTGAGTTCGAGGCTGGGCTGGACCGGCAGCCTCCAAAACAATACAGAGAAACCCTGTCTCGTAAAACCAAAATAAATAAATAAATAGGGCCTTACTGCCTGCTAAATAAAATTAATGGGAACCTGCTTGAACTGGGCAGGCTTCAAAGAGGCAGAGCTGACGAAGAAAACCATCAACAAAGAGTCACTGTGATAGAACACAAGACAAGCCCAGTAGACTAGTCGGACAGGTTAGGCAGGACTTCAATAGTTCAGGATTCTATTTCATCATGTGATGAACCACTGTCTGCTTTTAATTAGGAAAAGAAAAACTAAATTTGAGCAGCAATATTATGAGGCTGCCAGGGAAAGAAGAAAAGCAAGGGGAAAAAAGACCCTCAAATTGTGCAGCCAGAATAGGAGGGTTCATGAGTTCATGCTACTGAGTTTCACAGCCCTGCTCTGGGCCTGCTCTACACTGCTCACCCACTACCACTATCCCCAAGGTCTAAGCATGAAACAACAACAGGAAAGGCACTTACTGCTATATTGAATAGTTTTCTCTCCCCCTGAAAAATACCCAAATCTAGTGTCATACTATCTTTTTCTTTCTTCTCTTTTTTAAAGACTTTTTGTGTGAATATTTGCCTTCATATATATATATATATACATACATATATATATGTATGTATATATATATATATATATGTACATCGTGTATGTGGCTGCTACCCACAAAGGCCAGAAGAGGATGTGGGATCCCCTGAAAGAGGAGTTACAGACAGCTGTAAGCTACCATGTGAGTACCAGAAATCAAATCTGGGTCCTTTATTAGAGCAGCAAGTGCTCTTAACCATTGAGCCATCTCTGCAGGCTCTGCAATACTATCTTTTTTAAAAGTTCTACACTACAATTGCAGAAAAATACACATTGAGGACACACATACACACACACACCCCTGAATAAACCTAAACCTCTATGAACCAGAATGATACTAAAATAAAATTAAATGAATTTCAACAGTGATAGAACTAACTTCATATATGTATCCTCTTACTTCAAGTTACTAAAGCTAGGATCCTCAGTAATGCAGAATCAGTAATGATTAATATTAGCTGTTATCAAAACAATGTTTACCATCTACATATTCCTTTTATGGGGAGGGAGTACAGGGGATCAACCACACGCATTTTTACATGGGTCCTAAGCTTTGTCTATTAATTTTCAGAGAGGAAACATGGCTCTGGTAAAAATACTCCTTGAAAAAAAAAATACTCCTTGAACAAATCACTCTTAAGGGTAGGCCCCATGCCCAGCAGTAGATGGTCAACATAAAACAAACTCAACCGCATCTTTGGAGGTTCTCTGCCTCATGTTAAGTCAAGACATTTTTTTTTCTACCTTACAGGTTCTTTGTATATATACTATGGCTTCCAGTTTGGGGGATTTTATGGGATTCCTGTGTGTTCGAACATGTGTGTCTCTGCATCTATATGTGTTTCTTGTGTTTTTTCTTAGCCTCTTTTTCTTTTTTTTTGTCATATTCTGATTTTTATGGTATTTAATTTTACTTTATTATTATTCCTTAGAGGCCTGTTTGTTTTCTAAAGGTAGGAGGGGATCTGGATAGGAGTGGACCTGGGGAGGAACAGAGAAAGGAGAGGAAAGGAAAACTATAATCAGACTATATTGTATGAAAAAAAGCCTATTTTCTTTATTTTATTATTTATTTGATGTATATGGATAACATGCATATCTGTACACCAGAAGATGGCATCAGATAGTTAATGAGCTGCCATGTGGATGCTGGGAATTGAACTCAGGACCTTTGGAAGAACATCTGAGTCATTTCTCCAGCACATCTATTTTCAATAAAAGGGGAAAAAAATACTTCTTGAAAACTCTGGAAGTGGTAGACTTACTACTCTTTCACAAACATTTTTCCCCCAGTGGACAAATGTAAACACCAGCAACCCAAGTAAGAGTAACATGAAGGCAAACTTTTTCATCCAGTGCCAAAGACAGGTGTGGAGAGGCCACAGCTCTTCAGTAGCCCTTACATACTCACTGTCTGCATGGCTTGAAAGGGTGCTGTGCTAATGGCTGCTGAGATCCCACTTGCAGGAGGTAACTGGAAGCCCTTTGACAAGGGAGGATGTGGAGAAGTGAGTGCAGATGCTGGCTTGCTGGCGGAAACTGCCGTCTGTGGAGGAGAAATGCAGCATCAGCCACACTTGCCATATGACAGGAGGTTAACATACACTAAGCCCCAAGCTGGCACAAGTCAGCAAGTTCTTTAGGATGACATGGGAACACAGGAATGCAGAGAGCAGCGTTTGCTTACAATTTTTAAATCTCGGCTGCTGAGGATGCACACTAGCATTTGCTTTTTGATAGGGTGCTGACAAAGTGAGTATCACACAAGGGGCTCTCAACTTCCGACCAGCACTAAACTCTCTGCAAGCCCTGAAATGCTATTTTCCAACTAATAATCTAATATTACTCTGAATATAAGCAAAGACTGAGTTTAAGAAAAATTTGGGGCTAGTTAGTTCCTTTGTGTTAGTTCTCTATTTAAAAGATTAATGGATTCCAATTCCTAAGTCCTCTGCCTAAAAAATAAAACTCTGATATAAGTTAAGTAACCTATAAAGCCCAATTAATATGACATTAAACCCAATCCCAACAAGATTATAAAGGAGATCACTACATGGCACTTAGTAAAAAAAAATCACTTTTTTTTTGTCATAAAAAAGTCACTTCTCTCTCTCTCTCTCTTTTTTTTTTTTTTTTTTTTTTGGTTTTTCAAGATAGAGTTTCTCTGTATTGTTTTGGAGGCTGTCCTGGAACTCACTGTGTAGACCAAACTGGCATGGAACTCACAGAGATCCAACTGCCTCTGCCTCCCGAGTGCTGGGATTAAAGGTGTGCACCACCAACGCCCACCACTTCTCTTAATTTAGGCCAAATGAGCACTACAACAACTAATCAGCTATGCTTTCTTACAGTCTATAATGAATTCTCCTTTGTTAGTCCACTTCAAAACTCTAACCTAATAGTTATTGAATTGCCCCAAAATTTACTCCATCCATGTCTATCTAGCACAAGGATTTGCTCAAACAGCATAGGCTGAAATTTAGGACTATACACACAAACCTCATATGTCAAAAAACACTGCTTTTTTGTTTGTTTGTTCTTAGAAACAGTTTCTCCCTGTAGCCCTTGATTTCCTGGAACTCCCTTCCTAGATCAGGCTGGTCTCGAACTCAGAGATCTGCCTGCCTCCTGAGTGCTGGGATTAAAGGCATGGGCCACCACTTCTGACTTGTCAAAATGCTTTTGATAAGATGAGTCAGAGAAACTGTAACTCATTCCAACTTAGTGCTAATAACACCATAAAAAACAAAAGGATCAGGAATTCAAGATCTCAAAAACTAGTAATAGGGAGACTGGAGAGATGGCTTATAGATTAAGAGACATTGTTGCTCTAACAGAGAACCTGGGTTCAATTCCTAGCACCTACAGGGTAGTTCACAACCATCTTTAACTCCAGTTACAGGGATTTAATGTCCTCTTCTGCCTTCTTTGGGCACTAAGCACCATGTGGTGCACATATATACATGAATAAAATAAAATTAATAAATCTTTATAAGAACTTAAAAATGATAATTCTAAAATACACTTACTACATCAGGTAAGATAAGCATTATTAAATCTACATACGTGGCAAAGCTAAAATAGTGACCTGTGTATGTTCTAGGACCATACATCTACAGAAAGTAATGCATTAATAAATACAAACATCATAATTCCAATCATGCCAGTAATTCATATACTCATTCTGCCATTCTTTGAGACAGCAAAGAAATTATGGGTCTCATTACCTCAGAGGTCTCTGAGGTCATAAATTCTGTTTCAGCTTCTGAAGAAGCCTGATCAGTAGTAACCAAGCAAGCATTTGAGCTACAAGTAACTGAGGAAGTCACCTAGACACAGAAAGATAGAAAGCATTGTCAACACATGCTGTGTTCACTTCATATTTCCTGGGTGCTGGACTATCTGATATGTCACTTTTACTAGCACTCCATGGTGCCAGGCAGTATGCTAAGTGCACTACATATATTAATTCACCTAATCCTAAAAAGAAAAAACTGTATAGTAAGAACAATTATCCTCATTTTAGTGTCATCAAGAAGAAGCAAAGAACAGTATGAGTTCGAGGCCAGCCTAGTCTACAGAGTAAGTTCCAGAACAGACAGAGCTATGCAAAGAAACCCTATCTTGAAAATAACAAAAAAGAAAAACCAAGGCAGCAAAGAAAGGCAAAGTAATCTGCAAGATTAGAATAAAGTTCAATAGCAGAACACTTAGATTTACACACTGCCTTTCCAGGACTATGTCCCAGTTACACTCCAGCCTCACTGACCAAGACTCTTGGCCCTGAAAATCTGGTGCCAGATCTGCAATGTGGCTGACACTTCACAGTGCATGCTGGCAAGCTAGACACAGGGATAATCGTGCTTCCAGTCTAAAGACTTTTCATGCCTTACAGAGGTAGGCAGAAGTATAAAAAACGATGGACAAGGTCTACAAAGATCAAAACAGTATCAAAGTTCTAAGAGAAAATTGCAAGTTAGAAGCATGAATAAAAATAAAAACTAGAAACAAGCACAAAAGAAACAAAGACTGTGACAACTTAACAATAAAACACCAAGAGCAGCTTAGTAGGAAACCTATGGTACAAAAAGGTATTAGAATGCAAAAGAAACCTAAGAAAAACAATCTAGCAGTAGTGGTAGCTAAGTGTTTGTGCATCCAATGCTGCATCCCAATACTTCCTCCTGGTCCTCAGAAGCTCCAGTAATATCATAGGTGAACCAAAAATCAATGTGTGCTGACTAAACATCAGAGTGTTTCTATAATCTGCTTCAAGCACTAGGTGGTAGAGTCAGGAGGATCAAGAGTTCAAGTTCACCCTCCTCAACTACATAGTGAACTGCAAGTCCACCTGAATACTGTTGCATAAAACTTCCCCCCCAAAAAAAAATTTAAAAAACACACAGGCATGTGCACATGCACACACACACACACACACACACACACACACACACACACACATACACACACACGAAATCCTCTTCTAGTAAGTCTAAGATAAAACCTACAAAAATTTTTTTTCAATTGTTCTTGACAAAGTAAGAAGTCTTCCCCCTTGAAGCAAAGAAGAGTATAAGACACATTAACCTAGAAGTTACCTGTAATGGCTCTTGAAGAAAATCACTTTGATTGGACAAGTTTTGTTCTGCAGATACTGTAGAAACTAAAATAAATCAGACAATTAAGGGGAGAGAAAACTTAATGTATCAACTTGACAAGACAAAGTTTACTGTTTTCAAAGTATCAGCTGGAAGAACAGGTTCCTACTTCAACTTTGAAGAGAATAAGACTGGATGCTAGTTAGAAACACTAATTCATCTGTGGTATATGGTAATGTAGTTTTTTGTTCTTGTTTTTGTTTTTAACATTTTTATTATTATTTACACGCACATGTGTGTATGTCTGTATATGGACATGTACCTGAGGTTAGGGCCATCCCCTGGAGCTAGAGTTACTAGCAGTTGTAAGCTGCCTGATGTGGATGCTGGGAATTGAACTCGGGTTCTCTGCAAGAACAACACATGTTCTTAAGCACTGAGCCATCTCTTCAGCCCCCATGGTGATGTTTTAAGGTTATATGGGTAAAAGCATTAAAGCTTCAAAAATAAAAGAACTATGACTTTCAGAAAATTACTGGGGAATAATAATCTGGAAGACAAAGACTAAGCCACTATGAGTTGTCACTAACTGATACACATAATCTTAATAGTAAGTCTTAGCTGGTCATCTGTTTGTTTAGATTTTTCTCCTGTGGTTATACATATTAATACATTTGTTTCACCCAGCAGTACAGCATCAGTCTTTAGGAGGTGTTCAATGCTTACCACAGTTGGACTATAGCTTAATCATGTCATTCCTTACCTGAGAGAAATTAGCAGGGAGCCAAGAGGCCTCAGCTTTGAGGTATCACACCAGTTTTAGATTTAGGCTCCATTATTAGTAACCATGGTATTCACTGTTTTAAATATCAGGACCCAAAAGCCTCCACACTAGATTTACAGTTCAAAGGTCAAGCAGGTTCTAGTCAGAAATCACTCCAGAAAGAACATGGAAAATTGATAAAGAAGCTATTAAGTGTTTCTACTTGCCCACCTGAGGACTTTTCTCTAACAAATGTAAACATGCTACTGAAATATACGTACATCCTAATGATAATTTATTCCTGTGCAACTCTACTGACTGATGGATACAATTAGAATAAATTAACCAACACTTAAGCTATATGGAGTGCATGATTCGTAAAAGAAATAGCTGTTAGCTATAAAGCTGTGTGTTTTAAGTCTTTAGAATTATTGTTCTCCTACTGGGTTACCTGGAGAAGCTGAAGGCGACTGTGATGATGGAATTGCACTTGAGGGTTTGTCAAAATCTAGAAGAGACTCCTAAAGATAAAATTTTAAATAGTGAGAAGAAACACAGATGATTCACTTAAAGAGATTAAGTAGCTCACTATATTGATCACAACTTTTACTAAAGGTGCAGGCATTTAGCTAATTCCTACCTTGTGGTTTTTGGTTTTTGGTTTTTTGAGACAGGGTTTCTCTGTGTAACAGCCCTGGCTGTCCTGGAACTCTCTCTGTAGACCAGGCTGGACTCAAATTCACAGAGATCTGCCTGCCTCTGCCTCCAGAGTTCTGGGACTAGAGGCGTGTGCCACCACTTCCTGGTTCCTCTTTGAGATGTTAACAAATTATTCTTAAACAAGAAATTAAAGAGTCAAAACTAAACCCCAAGGTTACTGTCAAACCTCAACATTGGGTGAAGTATTAAAACTAGAATATTATTCTAAGGCCCAACTTAGACATGCACTCCTGATATGAGTCTTAAGCATAAAATGTTGGCCTTAGTCTAATCTAGTTTGAAACTGGATTTTTATTATACCTAAAAAATGAGAAGGTCTATTTATTTTTTATCTCAACCACCTACTGGTTCATGCTGATAAACATTTTCTTCTTATATCTGTGTAACAAGGTTCTCTCAAGAAAGCCTCCCAGGGCTAGAAATTTGTGGGAAACATCCTAGCTCTTTCATTTGTCTTCAAATTATCTCTCACTTTGCAGACTAGGGCTGGAAATTAAAGAAACTGACTGGAGTTATGCAGCAAGAAATAGGACTAGTGTTTACACCCAGGCCTAAATCCAAAGCTCAAAGCTCCTTTATTTACATTTACTTTGTTTACTTGAGTAGTCATGTCTCAATAATACACTGCTGTTCTGATATTCTCTAAGAGTCTATGTCACACTACTTAGTTAAACACAGCCTTTCATGATGGACAGGCCTTTAAACCCAGCACCTGGGAGGCAGAAGCAAGATGATCTCTATGAATTTAGTGCCAGCCTGATCTACATTGTGAGTACCAGACTAGCAAGGCTACACAGTCAGACCCTATTTTAAAGTGAAAAAAGTCTTTTACACAATTTATCATTTAACTATTGATTTAACACAAGTTTCCAATCTTCTATAGCTTTGAAGGCAGATGATGATTGTCTCATAATTTCTTAGTGGGACCTGAAAGACCAAGAAGCAAACAGGTTCGCAGTCTTAGGGCAACTATCAATGGCCCACAGCAGCCCTAACACCTAATTACATGATGCTTTTTGTTTCGTTTTGGTTTTTGAGACTTCTCTGTGTAACAGTTCTGGCTGTCTTGGAACTCACTCTGTAGATCAGGCTGGCCCAAGTGCTGGGATTAAAGGTGTTCGCCACCACCGCCTGGCTTAGCGCTACTTTCAACCTTGGTCAGAGAAGCCTTTTGCAGTGGGCAGAAGTCAATGCAGAGACTCATAACTGGTCAAAGTGTTTAGAGTGACTGTTAAACGCTAAGCTCTAAATGGGACACACTTATCAACTCCTTCAAAGCTCAAGGAATATCCCACCGGCAAGCACAGAAAGAATGTAAGATCCAGAAGATTGGAAGGAGTGCCGTGAAACACTCTCTTCTGGGCATGCCAAAGCTCTTGCATTCATGAGCTCACAGAAGCTATGGTGACCTACAGAAATCCAAGCTAGTCAGTATCCCAGGGAGGATGAGATAAGGGATATATGAGGCTCTACACCTAGCTGAAGAGCTATCAGCAATTGTTAGCTGGAGGTGCTGGGGTGGAAGGAGCTCATCATTTTTCTTGTGGCTGCTAGATTGCTTTTTCTCTGATAAATGGGTAAATGGTCCCACACTCACACTCATGCTGACAGTACTAACTAAATACTGTTGTTTGTTTTTAAAAAGAGGATGAGAATATGAAGGTGAGACTGGGAAGTATTGGGAGCTACAAAAGACAATGGGAAGAGGGAATTTGAACTGGACATGATCAAGATACACTATACATGTAAGAAATTGTCAAACAATAAAAAATATCCTAAAATCAAAATAAAACAAAGCAGCTCATACTTGCATAAAGTTACAAGTTCCTTGAATCTGGGTCATGAGGTCCTGCAGTTTTTCTTTCCTCAGCAAAGGATCCTTTGGAAAGGCAGAGGAAGAGTCTATAGGCTGAGGCATGGACTTAGGCACCTACAAGACAAACCCGCCATGTGTGAGTGAGTCTCAGTCGCACAGCTTGCATTACTATTACAGCCTCAGAAATCAATGGAAATACTATTTTTTAGACTTATCACAGTAAGATTTTTACATAAATCCATTTTCCAATTAATTTGTTTTCCCCTTTCAAAACAACTGAAGCATTTCTTTCAAAAAGGACTCAGAATTAAAGACCTTTCTTTAAAAGTGTTTCATTGCCAGGCCCATGCCTTTAATCCCAGCACTTGGGAGGCAGAGGCAGAAGGATCTCTGTGAGTTGGAGGCAAGCCTGGTCTACAGAGTGAGTGCCAGGACAGCCAGGATTATTTCATAGAGAAACCCTATCTCGAAAAACTGAAAAAAATAATAATAAAAATAAAAGTGTCTCATTATATAGTTATTACTATTTGTTCTCTGTGATAAGAAGCCACTGACTATGACACATACCAGTGTTTCTCATCAAGGCAAAAATTACTATTAGTACATTAAATATGTATCCCATTTTTAAGATACATGTGATTTCAGAGTCATTAAAATATTTAGAAATAATATATATCCATATGCAATGTACACACAATAGGATTGAGAAAATACTTTATTATATTTAAGAGTATACTCTTGGAGACTGCTGCTGTTTAGAAGTTCTCATGATAAATTAATTGGCAGACATCTTGAATTTACTCTAACATTTACAGTTCTTTTTTCTTTTTCTTTTTAATATTTATGTGTATGGATGTTTTGTCTCTGTTCGAGTGTGTGTGTGTGTCTGTGTGTGCGTGTGTGTGAATACCATGTATCTGCTTGGTACCTGCAGAGCTAGAAGGCATCAGATAGGCAGAACTGGAATTACAGGTGTTGTAGCAGCCATATGAGTGCTAGGAATCAAACCACAGTCTCCTCTGGATGAAGAGCCAGTGAGTGCTCTTAACCACTGAGCCATCTCTCCAGTCTTTAGCCATATTTTTATAACTGAGAACAACTGTTCATGGAGATATAAGTGCCCTCTTAGTTACTGAAAGAGCCTAAAACTTCAACACAATGCTGCCCGTGCCATAAAAGCAAATTCAACATCCCTGGCTTTCAATATCATTCAACAAACAGCATGAGATCAATATTCTAGTATGGTAAAGGTTCAAATTAGTGATTTGCAAATTATGGGGAATTTATGGGATTTTTTGGTTTTCTGGGTTGGTATGTTTGTTTGTTTGAAGACAGGCTCTCTATGTAGCACTAACTGGCATGGAACTTGCTATGTGTAGATCAGGCTGGCCTCAAATTCTCAAATTACAGTTCTGTTGTCTCTGACTGCTTTATTGGGATATTAAAATAGGTTTTTAATATGCATATCAAAAACAGCAAGCATACAATTATTACTAGATATTATAAATTAATGAAGTATGACTGTCAATCTTCTACAAGGGTAGGAATAAGATAAAAATATCAGCACTTGAAGAGAGTGAGAGAAAAAAATATTAGCACTTGGAGAGAGAAAAACAAGGAAAAGAAAAAGGAAAAAGCCAGGAGAGGTGGCACATGCCTCCAATGCCAGCACTTAGGAGGCAGAAGCAGGTGAATCTTTAAAAGTTTTAAAGCCAGCCTGGTCTACATAATGAGTTCCAAGCCCACCAGAGCTGCATAATGAGATTTTGTCTCAAAAACAATTCAGGTGTGGTGGCACACACCTTTGATCACAGTGCTCTGTAGGCAAGTGGATCTCTGTAAGTTCCAGGCAAGCCAGGTCTACAAAGAAAGTTCCAGAACCGCCAGGGCTGTTACACAGAGAAACCCTGCCTCAAAAAAGAAAAAAAGGAAGAAAAAGAAAAAAAAAGACAAATAACTCTAAAATTCTCTTTCTGGAAGGCAGCACTGAGAGGTAGTTTGTTTATTTATAAAGTGCAATGTTTTGACCTCTCCAAAGACCTGATCAGAAAGTTCCTGGCTAAAAAAGCAGGTGGTTAAAGGACAACTACCAAGTTGGGGTGGAGAGTCTTAGAAGTTAAGTCTTTAGCAAACAAAGTTGTGACATGTTTGCTTTATAAGCAATATTAAATAACTTATAATTTAAGAACAAGCAATACTAGCCGAGACTATCCAAGGATCATTCCTTACAAACCTCACATCCTGAGAGAAAGATTTATTTATCATCAACAGGATGAGGCAGACATAGAAATCTACTCACATCTTTGGATTCTACATTTAACTTCCTAGGCAGGAGGTGGTCATTTGGTAACAGACCTGCTGAAGCTGCTCCCCAGGACTTTGAAGAAATCTGTGACTGTGGGCTAAGGAGTGTCTCTGGTTCGTAACATTGAAGTCCCAGGCTTCACTGAATCCTGTTCTCTGCACATAGGAGTGGTCCAGAACCTGCTGCCACTCTGTTCACTTTGCACAGAGACTGTCCAGGATCCAGGAGGTAGCTTCTTTGGATTTTGTTCTTTCTGTGGCTGAACTACCCATGGCTTTGGTGTTTCCTGTATGTTCAGCTCTTCTTGAGGGCTTCTCAATTTGGACTCAGGGGTTTCTGGCTTCCACTGACTGACAGATGTCATAGAAATCTGCTGCTTCTGCTCTTCCTGCAATGTTGACCCAGGACTCCCCTGATCTAAGGAAACTACGGGCTTTGATACCTCCTGGAACCTGACAGAAGGCTCCCAAGACTCCGAGGACTTCTGCTTCTTCCCCTGACCATCTGGTTCAGGAAGCACACTCCAGCATTTGAGGAGATTTGGTTTTCTCACATAATCTGCTTCCCAAGATCGTTCCTCACTTTGTTTTCTTGAATAATTTACTTCTGTCATATAGCGTCTGTTAAGAAACTAAGCCAGAGAAATAAACAATGTTCTTCAGGCTTAAAATGCATAGATTTTCAATGTAATGTTAAACTCTATTAGTATTCATATGTCTGTCAGTGTTACATGAAACTATCTGATGTGAAACTCTTATCCTTACCCTATTTGAAGAAACTGCATGATTTCTGCATCTAGTCTTTCTCCTCAATTAACAGAAATGTAAACTTTGACACTTCAAAAGTAGAAATCTGTGACCCATTTAAGACTAGAAGAAACTACACTTTATGGTACTACAATCACTTGATATAGTCTCTTTGCCAAAGCAATTTTTTGCCAGAGGGAGGGTCTTTCCACACACCTGTCACCCTCCTTTAAAAGTCACAGCCAGGATAGTTCAATTACAGAAAGTTACACTGTTTAGATGTATGTCTCCTCATTTCCCAAGTTATTCTCTATCTCCCTCACATATCTATTATATTGTGCATCTGTTTCTCCAATTCTTTTCAGCTTCCACAAAGTTCAATGTTACTTAAAAAAAGTAAACACTCTCTTCTGCTACCAATGTAAATCTAGTAACAAAATTCTATATATTCGTAAAGTCAAACATAAGGGTTTAAAACTGCAATAGCTAATGTTAAAGAAGTTTCTGTGCATCAGACTAGGCCCTTTGGCCCTCACAGTAAAACCAGATATGATCCCAGGCTTCACTACATCGATGAGAACAACAATCCAGCCAGACACTAAACCAATAAGCTACAAAGCAGGATTCAAGTTCAGTCTGTCTGTCTAAGCCTCCAACTCTAAATCCAGTTACAGATGAAAACTTAAACAACTTCAGCAAAGGACCTGATCACTTCTCACCTCCTGTGGTTGTATCTCAGGCTGCACAAGTTCCACAGGAGATTCTGAGAAGATAAAAGAATTATAAATAAATATACATTCTAAGTGTTTAGTCTGGCTATAGCTATAATTCATTCCATCAATGAATGTCAAAGGGCTCAGAGTAATTAATACAATTAAATATATTCACAGTAGGACTACTCCAACTATTGTTGATTGGTCAGCAGCACGTGGAAGGCCTGGGGTTTGTAGCTCAGTGGTAGAGCATTTGCACAGCATGCACAGGGCCTGGGGTTTGATCCCCAGCACCAAAAGGAAAGGAAAGAAAGAGAATGGGTTCTAAGGATAATTGCAATTGGAGCTGGTATCTCATGAGATATTTACTGAAGTAAAGTTTCTTTTTGGTTTATTTGACGCAGGGTTTCTCTGTATAACCCTGGCTGTCCAGGAACTCACTTTGTAGTCCAGGCTGGCCTCAATCTCACAGAAATCTGCCTGCCTCTGCCTCCTGAGTGCTGGAATTAAAGGTGTATACCAACACAACCTGGTTTTAAGATTTTATTCCTAAGTAAAATAAAACTATCTCTTTTTACCCACAAATGCCTTATTAAAACTGCAATTACAGTTAAAGTTTACAAGAACAAATCAGTAATCTCAACTTCAAACAAAGCCTTTGCCAAAGCATACTATGGTCAGGAAAGGTAAGAGAGGGAGACACAGAAGCATTAAACTTAATATTAAGGAGAAGTAAAATCAGAGATGTAGCTTAATTGGCTGTCTTTGCCTAGCATGCACAAAACACTAAGTTCCTAGGTATGATTCCTAACACAACACAAACTAGTCATAGTACAAACTTTTAATCCCAGCACTGGGGAGGCAGAGGCAGGAGGAGCAAAAGTTCAAGGTCATCCTAAATTACACAATAAATTTAAGGCCAGCCTGGGCTACATGAGATCCTGACAAATAAAAACATTTTTTATTTTAAAAAGGGAAAGAAGGAAATAAATGGCTAATCAAGAAATATATTTCATTTTCTTTCTTTCTTTCTTCTTGTTTGTTTTGAGACAGAGTTTCTATGTATAGCCCTGGCTGTCCTGAAATGTGTTTCATAGGCCAGGTTGGCCTCGATCTCAGAGATGAGCCTGCCTCTGCCTACAAAGTGCTGGGATTAAAGTCCCTCAACACCAGTTCAGCTTTACTACCGAACTAAATCCCCAACCCCTCATTTTCTATTTTTTTTCTTTTCCCTTAAATCAATAACTGATCCCAAATTCACATTCTTCTACAAAATACTGTTTTCTACTATGACTTACATTTAAGCTATACTACAAATGGAATTATCCTATTATGGTTTAGCACAGAGGTTTATTCAGGTTTCACAAATGCCTAGTTTTAACCAAATATTTTCTCTCAAAACAAAACATAAACTAATGTTTCTATTAAGGTTCCATCTTGAACTTAGAGTAGTGAAACAAGCCTGTAATCTCAGCACTTGGAAGACATAGAACAAGAGCCCAGGCCAGGCCTTACTACAGAAAATCTTGTCTAAACCAAACAAAAAGAAGTTAAACTGTAAGTCACAGCACTGTTTTCTCTTTCTTTTTTTTTTTCTTTTTTTTTTTTTTTTTTTTTTTTGGTTTTTCGAGACAGGGTTTCTCTGTGGCTTTGGAGGCTGTCCTGGAACTCACTTTGTAGACCAGGCTGGCCTCGAACTCACAGAGATCCGCCTGCCTCTGCCTCCTGAGTGCTGGGATTAAAGGCGTGCGCCACCAACGCCTGGCCTTCTCTCTTTTTTTAACATTTTATTTTTAATTTTTGTGTATATTTGTGTCTAAGAGTGAGTCTATACACAAAGTACAATCCCCAAAGACGCCAGAGAGAGCACTGGATACCCCTGGAACTGAAAGTTATAAGCTCCCCAATCAGACTGCTAGGAACCAAAGTTGAATCATCTGTAGGAGCAATACATACTCAACCACTGAGCTATCCTTCCAATCCCTAGTAATCTGTTTTCTAAACCTAGGCTTATCCATTGTATAGAATCCAACAAACTAAATCATTTCAAAATGATGGTTCTAAAATACAGTAAGAATGCAACCTCTATAATGGAACGCATGCACCACCATGAGAGAGTGCAAGTGACATGGGAAATCCTTCTTTATCCTCTCTCCCTCTCTCTCTCCCTCCCTCTCCCTCCCTCCCTCCCTCCCTTCCTCCCTCCCTCCCTCCCTCCCTCCCTCCCTCCCTCCCTCTCTCTCTCTCTCTCTCTCTCCTATTGGTTGATGAATAAAACACTGTTGACCAATAAAGCAGGAAGATAGGTGGGACCAGGAGACAAGGAGAATTCTGGGAAATGTAGGCAGACTAAGTCCTCATGTAGAACCCAGGAAAAGAGGATACACCATGCATTCTCCGGTAAGCCAAGACAACATGGAAATACACAGATTAATAGAAATGGATTAATAATTAAGACAGAGCTAGCCAATAAGAAGCCCAAGTCACTGGCCAACAGTTTATAACCAATATAGCGTTTCTGTGTGTTTATTTGGGGCTAAAGTGGGAAAGGTGGGACAAGTACTTTCATTAACATACAAGTGTTATTTGGGGCTAAAGTGGGAAAGGTGGGACAAGTACTTTCATCAACATACAAGTGTTATTAGGAACAAAGTATTGTATGTTTAAAAAGGAAAATGTCATAGCGTAACCCATTTCTTTATATGCTAAGTAAATTTTTAAAAACAAAACAGGAGTCCTAGTATAAACCTATTAATTTCTGCACTCAGAAGGTAGAGGAAGGACAATCATCCGAATTCAAGACCAGGCTACTGTACATAGTAAGTCCAGCCAAACCAGCTACATAGTTTATGCCCTGTCTCAAAAAATAAAATAAAATGAAAATAAAATTTAAAAAAATAGCAAGCTAAAGAACTTCAAAGACGGCTGGGCGGTGGTAGCGCACAACTTAAATCCCAGCACACTCAGGAGGCAGAGACAGATGGATATCTGTGAGTTCCAGGCCAACCTGATCTACAGAGAAACCCTATCTCGAAAAAACAAAAACAAATAGAACTTCAAAGATCACAACAAACCTGACTCTTTCATAGATTCAGTCTTCAGTAATTGTTTCTTCTTTTCTGATTGCATTAGCATTTCTTCCTTTTCTTCCTTAGAATTCTTGAGAACTGAGACATTTTCAAAATAACCTGAGTTGAGCAGCTTAGACAGTAGATCTTTCACATGTTTGTCTAAGAAAGAGTGATTAAGACTTAGCATACAAACTAAGAGTTCATTGACAATTATGGAGAATAAGAATCTCAATGTTATCTGCTTATAGTCAACCATCAAAAGAGTGGATGGTGGGGGGGATATACTTGGAATTGTCTGTGCCAGGAAAATAAAAAAGTAATTCCTCTTTACACTTCATGCCAAGTCAGTACAAACAGCAAAGATGAGACTAGATATTTAACAAATTACTTAAGTTTCTCTGGTTCTCTATTTTTACCATTTGAAACTGACTAAGAAAAAAATCAAAGAACCTAATCAAAGAGTGTATCAAGGCACATATTCCCTGAGCTGAGACATTTTTTTCATCTGCCTCCAAGATATTACAACTAGCCACTGCTCTGTGTTAACCATTAATTAAGGATATACAGAAATAAAAGCTAGTTCATCCATCATAACCAATAATACTGGTTTTTCATTGTTCTCTTTGGTTGGTTATGTGGAAATCAGGTATCACTAAATATTAGCCCAGGCAGTCTAAACTGTTATTATCCTGCCTTAGCCATCCCACATCCTCTAGGGGCTGGGATTACAGGTTTGAGCCATCAGAATTGGCTTAATATTTTAAAATTGTAAAATTCCTTCATTTACGATTTCACTCATGTCACTCCTAACAAACTGGCACTAGGCAGTTTTTTTTAATTAAAAGTAATGTGAAAGTTGCATATATTTTATTTTACATGTCCAATAAAACCCGACTCCAAACCAGGCAAAGCATCCATAGTATGTACTTATTATTCGTTGGAATATTATAATACTGATTAGTTCTCTTTTTGTTTTTTTTTTTTCTAGACAGGTTTTCTCTGCATAGTCCTGGCTGTCCTAGAACTCACTTTGTAGACCAGAGACCACAAACTCAAAGATCCACCTGCGTCTGCCTCCTGGGTGCTGGGATTAAATGTGTGCTCCACCACCACCTGGCCTGATTCTTTTCTTTTTTTCTGATTTTTTTTTTCTTCTTTTTCTGATTCTCTTTTTAATCAGCCTTTTTTTTTTCTTTTAAACATCATCTCACTTTGTAGCTCAAACTCACAACAATTCTCCTGCCTCAACCTCCTGAATTCTGGGACTACAGGCATGTACCACCATGGCTATATTTTAGTCATCTTTGAGTAATTACTTACAAACAAAATGTTTCACCTACTTCAAGTTCGTAGCTTTAATATATACAAAACCATGCTACCACCAACACAACCACAATTTTAAAGCATGCCTCTGCTTCCCGAGTGCTGGGATTAAAGGCGTGCGCCACCAACGCCCAGCATGTTTTCATGTATTGTCTGACTTCTTTCACTAAGCATAATTACTGTGAGATTCATCTATGCTCTTGCACGTATTAAGGGTTTTTTGTTGTTGCTGTTTGAGTTTTTGGTTTTTGTTTGTTCTGAAATAAGCTCTCACTATGCAGCTCTAGCTGGCTTAGAACTCACTGTGTAGATCTCAAAACTGTCTCAAACTGGTAATGATCCTTCTGTGTGTGCCTCCTAAGAGATTACAGGCATGAGTCACCAGACCCAACTATTACTTAATTGCTAAAATTCTACTTGCTGAAAATATCCTATTTTGTATATCAATTTACTGCTGTGCATCTACACCGACTCTAACAGAGAACTACTATGAATAGAGTATAAACATTGTATACAGGTACTTATATGAGCACATGTTTTTATTTCTGTTCGGTTCTAGACATGTAACTATTTAGCTATACAATAAGTAGACACTTAATTTTATGAGGAAGTGCCAAACTCTTTTCCAAACCACTGTTTCCTTTGTCTTTTTTGTTTTTTTTTTCAAGAAGGGATTTGCCATGATGTTCAGGCTGACTTTGAATTCTTGTGCTCAAACTACCTTCTGAGCTCACCTCCTGACTGACTGGGACCAGAGTGTATTCTACCACGCCTGAAACAAAAATATAAATTTTCACTTGTAATTTAAGTCTTAAACAAAGTTACAAGTCATGATAGTTATACATACATGGGTTACATTTCTGAAGGTATATGTGCTTGTGTGTGGTTGCATGTGCACATGCCTATGGAGGCTATTGGTCAGTATCAGGAGTCTTCTTCAAGGGCTCTCTCTTTCTGCCCCCCCCCCAATTTGGAGTTTGCTGATTCAGCTAGACTGCCTGGCAACAAGTCCCAGGGATCCTCCTTTCTTCATCTCCTCAATGATGGAATTTCAGCCACTGCATGCCCATGGTTTGTTGTGTTTTGTTGTGTTTTGTTTTAACACAGGTACTAGGAGATCAAACTCAGGTTTCATGATTACACAGCACTTTACTAAGCCATATCCCAGACCCTAGACTTGGATATTTTCTAAAGAGGAAGAAATTAACTATGGTGAAAATATTTATTAGCTTATAGGGAGTTTTCATGATCCTAAGTGGTGTACTTTATATTTCATGTCTGGCGATTTGAATGTGGTCATTTGACTGTCCAACAGACTAGGCAAACTATTTGTCATTTCTTACAATGACCTACTAAATAAGCCTTATATTAACAATGTATGGATTTAAAGTTCTCAAATAGAACATGTACCACTATTCAGAATAGGAACCTGAACTCCAAAATGATTTAGCTGGTATTGAAACCAGAGCTAGTACTTAGCTTTTGTTCCCAAATCATATTGGTTGTCACTTGAAATCATTGTCAGTTCCCTTTTAGTAAACAGGAATATATGATAGCTTCTTTTAATATAAAGGGATCATTCTTCCAATGAATACACCATTGTCAGACATATAAATTCTGGTGGACTGGCACAGTTTAGACCCTCAATATCATACTAAACTTCTAAACAAAAAGTTTACTATTTACTACCTAAGTCCAGAGTAGAGAAAACTCACATGTTGTTCCTACCACTGCTTTCTCACTACCTTCCAAAAGGTCCCAAAAGTACAAGGATGACTGCTCCATCTGGTCTTCAACACTGACAAGGAAAAGCAGCAGCAGAACAGAGTGACTTTAGACATACACATATACATGAAGAGCAGTACAATGCACATATAAAATATAACCCATCAACAGTCAAGATATACAAATATGCTAATTTTACCATTTTACTGTTTGGAAGCAAAATATTGAATTTTATATAAATTTTTTAAAATAAATGTCTTCCCTAAAATGAATAAAAAAGATTTTACCAATACAACTATTAAGGAAAAGACCAAGAGTTTAAGCCAGTGCAGTGTCATTAATTATCAGAAAGAAAAATGACATGGAAACACTCAGTGCTCCATTTCACTTCACTTTGTAGAGAGTAGCTTACTTTTCAATATGAGAAAGCTCCAGTCCCTGAACCAACTCAAGAGGGAAGGCAGCAACAAATAGATGACAATTGAGAAAGGAATGCAGCTTTCTAGAGTAAGCTAAGTTTTATCCAGCTTCTTCTCTACACCAAACTGATTTGTAATAACAGCTGAACTCTTCATAGCTCTGCTTTCATAACTAACAAAGAATTGGACCAATCCATATTTAACAAAGCAAAAGCATAAAGATTTGTCTGTTAGCTGATATATCAATACAAAAATAGTAGCTAACTAGAGAAGGAAATATTAGGTAGCCTCAATTTTGCAGTTTTATTTATTTCTTATTTTTTGGTTTTACGAGACAGGGTTTCTCTGTATTGTTTTGGAGGCTGTTGGTCCAGCCCAGCCTCGAACTCACAGAGATCCGCCTGCCTCTGCTTCCCCAGTGCTGGGATTAAAGGTGTGTGCCACCACCGCCTGGCAATTTTGCAGTTTTAAATGATCAGTTCATTTATAACTAGAATCACAGTGAATATCTGCATAGAGTTAAGACAATGATGAAGCTGTTTTGTTCTGTTTCAGAGACAGTCTCACCACACCTAGCTAAACATTATCTTTAAAATCAGTGCTATACTAAAGACAGTGTTAATGAGACCATTCAAACTTACTGAATTACTGAATGACCTACCAAACATATCTAAGTTTCCCATATTGAATAAAATTAAGATTTTCTTAGCTAATTCCTAACTACCTATAACAGAAAAGCTAAAAGTACTACAAGTTCCATATCAGGAAAATCACTTCACTGACTTACCTCAGACTTTCAATTCTTTCAGGGCAGGTCAGTTTTGAGAATTTGATGAGGTAGTCAAGTTCTTTTGAAGGCAAATGCATTGTACCATTCAAGCCCCCTTTTAAGTCTTTTTGTACATGTTCTTGTGTCAAGTTCTGTAATACATACTGAACTTGAAGTATAGTTCGAAGTTTCTTCTTCTCAGCCTCAAGTTTTAGCATGTGCTCCCTTCTCTGGGCCTTTTTCTGCGCTTTCAGTAGCTGTTAAAACAAATGCAGGTTCACATATCTCAACCACCGAGTTAACTGGGATTAGATACATTTTGCAACTGAAAAACTGAACAGAGACTCGGTGTGGCAGAGCAAGCCTTTTATTGCACTTGGGAGGCATAGACAGATCTCTATTTGAGACCAGCCTGGTCTACAAAATGAGTTTCAGCACAGCCAGAAGGACCCTGTCTCAAAAATAATAATAATTGGGAGCTGGGGAGATGGCTCAGTGATTAAGAGCACTTGTTCTTCCAGAGGACTCAGGTTCAGTTCTAACACTACACGGGGAATCATGACTTCCTGCTACTCCAGTTTGAAATTTGATACCCTCTTGTGAACTCCATGAGCATCAGGCACACACATGGTACACATACATACATGCAAGCAAAGCACTCAAATACATAAAATAAGTCTAAATTTTTTTAAAGTAATAATGTACCTGTTTCCAACTAAGAAAATATGGCTTTTATGATTATGTTTCTATAATACTGGTTATTTTTTTAAAACAAAACAACAAGGAAAGAAAAAGACTCAAGGCTTTTTCTTTTCCAATAAATGGGTCATTGATACAAGTATCAATATTTTAAAATCTAAAAGATATATCCAACCAGACATGGTAATACAGGCCTAAGATTTCACAAATTTGAGCACACCTGACTGCACGATGAGTTCCAAACAAGCCTTGTCTACACACAGCAAGACAAAGGAAAAGGAAGAGGAAATAAGGGAAAAGTATAGAGAAAGGAAGCAAAACAAAAAGATTTTAATTTAAAAAGATGTGTTTTGAAAGAAAATGGCCCCCACGCGGAGTGGCACCATTAGGAGGTGTGGCCCTGTTGGAAGGAGTGTGTCACTGTTGGGGGGCAGGCTTTGAGGTCTCTTTCACTCAGGTGTTCCTCAGAGTGACAGTCAACTTCTTGTTGCCTCTGAGTCAAAATGTAAGGACTGTCAGATCTAGCACCACGTTTACCTGCATGTTGTCACGCCCCCTGACATGATGGACTGAGCCTCTGAAACTGTGAGCCCCCCAGTTAAAGGTTTCCTTTATAGAGCTGCTGTGGTCTGTTGGTCTGTAAAAGCAAGTTCTCTTAGGTCTTAATAATAAAAATTCAGAGTCAGGGCCAAGTGGTGGTGGTGGTACAGCACACCTATAATCCCAGCACTTGGGAGGCAGAGGCAGGAGGATCTCAGTGAGTTCATGGCCAGCCTGGTCTACAAAGTGAGTTCCAGGACAGCCAGGACTACACAGAGAAACCCTGACCAAAAAAAAAAAAAAAAAAAAAAAAAAAACTCTCCAATGACTGATAAGCAAACACAGTTTTTAGGTAGTGGCATATTCTTGCTCTAAGAAAAGCAACGGAAACATACTCACATCTTGGCTCAGTGCAGAAAAGGTTTTCTGAAGCTCCTTGGCAAATTCCAAATTATGTACTACTTCTTCATATTTCTCCACTGCTTCCTACCAGATAGAATTAAAAAACAGCAAATGAGTGGTAAGCTCAGAATTAATAAGCGTTCCCTAGATTGCTGAAGGACTGGAGAGATGGCTTAGAGGTTTTACAGCACATGCTGCTCTCTCCCAGGGAATCTGAGTTCCCAGCCAGCACATCAGGCAGTCACCCATAACTCCAGCACTAACGGATCTGACACCCTCTTCTGATCTTCATGGACACCTGGATATACATTCCCATACACAAACAGATACATACAAATAAACATAAATCATTTTTAATTGATAAAGGAGATAGGACTTTGTAAGTTAGAAAAGTACTTACTAAAAGAAAAGGTATCTACAAGTTACATAAAGTAATGTAAAAAGTCTATTTTATTGCTAGAACTTTTGTTTGTTTGAAGACAGATTCTTACTGGATCTCAGGTTGGTATAAAACTCATATGTATTCTAGGCTAGGATCAAACTTATGATTCCCATGCCTCAATCCCTCAAGCATATCTTTAGATATACTACCATGCTCAACCCCAATTTTTATATTAGAAATCAGAGTTCTGGGTCATTGAGTTGGTTCAGTGGGTAAAGGTTCTTGCTGCCAAACCTGAAGATCTGAATTCAATCCCTAGGACCCACATGGTAGGAAAGAATCAACTTCAGCAAGTTGCCATCTGGCCCCACACACACACACATACACACTTGTAACAAAATAAAGAAATCAGAGCCCTAATTCTACCCTATCTGTAATATTTAAGTTAGAGATCTCTATGGGCTTTGAGAACACTAAGCCATTATTAAGACTCCTCAGTCAACGTCATTCACCACTCAAATATACTACAGGAATGATACATATCACACAGAACAGCAACTGTGAAACACCTAAAACATGGTAGAAAAAAATGTGTAAAGAATTACCCGTAAGAGACACCAAAAGTATTATAACAAGCACTATCCTACTGAAATTTAAAAAGTAACTTTTTTTCTTTTAAGATTTCATTCCATGCCAGGCTGTGGTGACACACACCTTTATTTCCAGCACCCAGAAGGCAGAAGCAAGCAGATCTCTATGAGTTTGAGGCCAGCCTGGTCTACAGAGTGAGTTCAGGAAAGCAAAAGCTACACAGAGAAACCCTGTCTCAAAAAACAAACAAACAAACAAAGATTTCATAACCACATGGGCTAGAGAAATGGCTTAGGGTAAAAGGCACTTGTTGCTCTTGTAGAGAACCTGGGTTTGGTTCACAGAACCCATGTCATGGCTCACACATCTGTAACTCCCAGTCCAGGAAATCCAGCACTTCCTTCTGACGTCTACAGGCACCAAGCACACACATAATGGACATAAACATATGCAGGCAAAATACTCATACACATAAAGTGACTAAAAATAAAATAAACAAAAGGTTTCATATTCAACTGGTAATTAGAGAAGAGATGAGTTTGTCTTAACTCTTTGTGGAGAAAGACAAAAGTCATTTTGGGATCAGATGATGAGATGGTTCAGTGGGTAAAGGTACTTGTGTACCTGGTGGCCACTGAGGCCAGAAGATGGCATCAGATACCATGGAACTGGAGTCACAGAAGGTTGTGAGCCACCGTGTGGGTGATATGAATTGAGCCTGGTCCTCTAGGAAAGCAGTAAGTGCTCTGAACTGCTGAGCCATCCCTCCAGCCCCTATCATTTATTTTTAATGACACATATGTATTGGTATGTGATATGAATACTGGTAACCAAGGATGCAAAAGTGTCAGATCCCCTGTAGCTGCAGTTACAGACAATTGTGAGCTGAGTGACACGAGTGTTGAAAACTGAACTCAGGTTCTCTGGAAGAGCAGTAAGAGTTCTTAAGCACCAAGCTATCTCTACAGTTCTCCATCATTTATGTTTTGTTTTCATTTTGTTGGTTTGTTTGGGTTTTGGTTTTGGGGTTTTTTTGTCGTTTTGTTTTGTTTTTTGAAATAGGTTCTCTCACTGGCCTGGAACTTGTCAAATAGGTGCAAGCCCCAAGGCTCTGTCTCTACCACTCCAGGCTATGATAACAAGAGTGTGGGGCTGGAGAGATGACTCAGCAGTTAAGAGCACTGACTGCTCTTCCAGAGGTCCTGAGTTCAATTCCCAGCAACCACATGGTGGCTCACAACCATATGTAATGAGATCTGGTGCCCTTTTCTGGCCTGCAGGCATACATGCAGGCAGAATGCTGCATACATAATGAATAAATGAATGAATGAATAAATCTTAAAAACAGTGCACCACCATACCCAACTTTTTACATGGATTCCAGGACTGAACTCAGAATCTCATGCTTGTGCATCAAGCATTTAACCTGAGTTCACATAAAAAAAAAAACTCAGAGTGATACCACTCTCAGAATTTCTGGAATTCTTACAAACAGAGAAGCTTCCACATTTTAAGTTAGCGTACAGAGCATGAAAACAAAACCAAGAAAATAAATGCTGGCTGGTTAGCCAAGTCCCTTCACCAGCTAGAGGGTGCTCAGAGCTCACACAATTCAAAGCTAGACCTCAACAGAATCATAATTACTACACCATAGGACTTCTGTGTCACCAAGGAGGGAAACGTGAACAGGCTCATGAGCCAGATCAAGTAACTGCAGGGCTGGAGGGGCTGCTCAGCATTTCAGAAGCACCTGCTCCTGCAGCTCTTCCCAGAGGATGTGAATCTGGCTCCTGTCACCCACACTGGGCATATCAGAACTGCCTGTAACTAAAGCTTCAGGGGATCCAATACCTCTTCTGGCCTCCACAGGCACCTGCACTAGCATGCACATACCCACACACAGACATACATGCATACACATACATTTTAAAAAATAAATCTTAAATAACTTCAAGCATATTGTGTCCCTTCTTAAAAGGCAGAAAATGTTATCAGGCCAAAACATCAAATAACAATAAAGAAATTTCTTTAGTCCATATTGTAAATGTGTTCCTTCACAATTAAATAATATTTGGAATTACCAGGTATACCATGAACAGGGCAAACATGAAAAAGAAAATTGTAGCTGGGTATGGTGTCTCATATGGCCTGCAATGCCAGAATTTCATAGGGTGATGTAGAAGGACCCCTATGAGTTCAAAATAAGAAGAATTTATAGTGAAACTAATTTTTAAAAGGCTAGGTACATAGCTTAAGTATGAAAGAAACTAAAAGAGAGCAAGTCAGAATCATGAGACAAAGCTACAAAAACAGATTTAGAATAGAAAGATGTCAAGTTTATATTAAACCAGTGAAGAGTTGAAAACTTGAGTATACTCAGTCTTCCTAGCATAAATTAAGTTCACCATACATGGCAACTCATCTAATCTATTTTGTTCCATTTAACCAATATCATCTAATAGTATGTACAGGCAGGACAGATCTCTGTAAGTTCAAGGCCAGCCTGGTCTACACAGTGAGTTCCAGGGCAGCCAGGGCTACACAGAGAAACCTTGTCTCCAAAAAATAAAGAACAAAAAAGAAAAGCAAGCAGACAAGTATATCTAACAAATGATCTCAAGCTACTTACCAACTGGTCTGGGTTAAGTTGCTCTCCATTTTTCAGGCGATCTTTATAATCTTCCAGTTTGAGCTACGAAAGAGAAATATATAATTTATGGCATAATCTGATAGAAAAAACTGAAGCAAAGGAGATTCGTGAAATATGCTGGTATGCCAGAGTACAATTTCACACAGACAGACAGCAATTGTATTTGAGTTCCAAGTCTATAGGAAAAACAAAAACAAAAACAAAAACCACAGAGCAGTATCAGTTGACTTTGTCCATGTAATCAGCCCAGCAGATTCCAGCTAAACATACCACAACTTAGTAGCTATTTCAGGCACTTGACCAATGGGAAAAGAGAACTTCCACCCAAACAGGGTTTGCCTTGTGCTCCCAGGACATGTCTGCATCTCAAAAATGCAGCTGAGGCTGCTCTGAGAATAGCTGAACACTACAGGTATAAACTACAGGTTTATACACTACAGGTAGTTGGAATGCATTGATCCTGGTAGTTCAACTATCTCAATTATCTCCCTACTCTTGAAGCAGGAAAAAGGCCTCTAAAAAGATGGAATAGTCATGTATCAAAAGGCAGTTAAAGCAGGGAGGGGAGCAGAAGGCAGTGTGACAGATGCTTCGTTTCCCACTCATTTAATATTCACAATCCTGAGATAAGGACTAGTCTTTCAACTTAGCTATATACTATTTAAATTTTTTTTAAATGTTAGATGATTGAGTTTCCACCATGTATTAACTCAAAGAGCCTCACTGGAATAACTTTCTATGTGAACAATGCAATTCCTAGAAATCCGGTATCCCAGTTTAAAAAAAAAAATCATTCAACAGTTAAGGCTCATTTTGAGGAAAGAACTACAGTAGCACTGTTAAGAACATAAGGGCCTAGTTGGGTGGTGATGCACGCCTTTAATCCCAGCACTCAGAAGGCAGAGGCAGATTTCAGTGAGTTCCAGGCCAGCCTGGTCTACAAAGTGAATTCCAAGACAACCAGAGCTACACAGTGAAGCCCAATCTCAAAAAAAAAATTAAAAAATTCAAAATGTAAGCTTCTCACTCTATTTAAACCCACTGTTGAACCTGAAGTTTCCCAAAATGAGGCACAAAAGCAGCAGGTCAGTGTATTTGGGTTTTTTAATGTGTGTGGTATAATAAGGTGTGAAAGGGGTTATTTAAAGGAGTACACTGGAGTTACCTAATTAGAATATGAAAATATCAGCACTGATAAAGAAACTTTTTAAGGAAAAGTATGTGGCAAACTAACAAGATATACAGAGCTGTCAGCATGCTAGGATAAGTTCATTATTATAAACTAGTATGTAAGTCTAGTGATTGAATTTTTTTTTTTTAGTTTTTGAGTTTTTTGAAACAGAATCCCTCTGTGAAGCCCTGGCTGTCCTGGAACTTGCTTTGTAGACCAGGCTTAAACTCAGAGATCTGCCTGCCTCTGCCTCATGAGTGGTAGCATCAAAGGCATGAGCCACCATGCCCAACTCATTTTAATTATGTATATCTGTGTGAGGGTATATGCAAGTAAGTGCAGGTGCCCCAGGAGGCCAGAGTCCTCACAGGACATTACTCCTCCACCATCACCACTGCCAAATGGAGTTACAGGTGGTTTATAAAATGTCTGATGTGGGAGCTGAGAATCAAACCCAGGTCCTCTAGAACAGTAAGTATTCTTTGTTTTTGTTGTTTTTGAGACAGGGTCTTTTTATATAGTCCTGGCTGGCCTTGAACTCAGAGATGTGCCTGCCTCTGCTCCAAAGTACAGGGATTAAAGGCATTAGCCACCATGCCCAGCTTTCTGTACATACTCTTAACCTTTAGCCATCTCTCCAGACCCAAATCTTTTTAGAATTATTAGTGTACGTGTGGAGGTCAGAGGACTTTTGGGAGCTGATGATCCCCTTCCACTGCAGAATTCTGGGTTATACTGAGGTCATCAGGTTTGTACAGCAAGCAGTTTTACCAGCTAAGCCATCTCAACAACCCGATTTTTTTTCCTCTCAATAGCTTCCATTTATAATCAGCCTACTTAAATAGGGTCTAAAGTCAACCATATACCACTACATAGAGGTGCTCAGCCAGGGCAATTTATTCCAGAGATATAGGAGATTATCACAATTTGCAGAGTCTGGAAGAGGCAAACAGTGCTTCTGGCATCTTTTAGGCAGATGCCAAGACTGTTGGTAAATATCCGACAATGCTCGGGACAGCCTCCGACAACAAGGAGTTATCTATCTAGCACAGTGGTTCTCAACTTGTAGGTACAACCTCTTTGGGGGACCACATTTCAGATATTCATTACAATCCATAAGAGAAGCAAAATTACAGTTATGAAATAGCAACAAAATGGTTGAGGGTCATCACAACATGAGGAACTGTATCAAAGGGTCACATCATTAGGAGGGTTGAGAACCACTGATCTAGCACAAAGTATCAATAGCATCATGGCTGACTAGTTCTGCACACCGTAGTTCATGCTTACTTATACTACTAATTATTATCTGTTGAACCGTATGGCATTTTCATGATAGCTAACATTCCAACAGAAGTATCAAGATATTATGCTATCTTTCATACAAAATTTGCTATTTAAGAAAATACATAAAAATTAAATTGCATCTATTAGCCCCATAATCATGACATAAGCATTTTTCAGGCTCCTCCTATATTGGTTTTAGGTCCTAAAATGCTTTCCTAGAATCTGGAAACAAAGGCACTGGTGCTAGTAGACAGACATCTTAAGTATTACGGTTTAGCTGGATAATACAGGAAAACACATATTCAACTTCTCCACTAGGAACATCACTAATGAATCTCCACTATCAGACCCCGCATTGGCTAGTTATCAGTGTTAAGGAACCTGTGCTGACCCAGGCACAATTACCTTGTCATAGGAGTAATTAAATGCATGCATTCAAAAGATGCATGGAAAAGGGCCACTGACCCTACCTCCCAATACAAGGGAAGATACAGTCAATAAAACTCAAAAAGTCTCTTCATTACTCTATACAAAAAAAAAAAAAATAAGAAAACCTCTTCTAATGTTTTACTAGATGTTCTGCAGTTTTAAGAGACTGTAGGTCCAAACTGGGCATTGGTGGCACACGCCTTTAATCCCAGCACTTGGGAGGCAGAGGCCGGCGGATCTCTATGAGTTCGAGGCCAGCCTGGTCTACAGAGCTAGTTCCAGGACAGTCTCCAAAACAATACAGAGAAACCCTGTCTCAAAAAAAAAAAAAAAAAAAAAAAGAGAATGTAGGTCCAGATCCAGATACTTACTCTGCCTTACCTGTCAAAAGTAAATGAGAACCAAGACACAACAGTGCATCCCAAGCAACTGTTTCACAGGCTCCGTGACTCAGGAAATGAGAAAGTATCTGGATCTTTACCATACCACTTACTGTAATGTTAGGACTGGTAAGAATCCAAGTCTATTCACAAAGCTGCCTACATTACTTTCATGAACCAATCTTAAGTCAGTATCTAGCAGTGGAAGAATTTAAATTAGGTCACAGCATTTCCTGGCTCATGATGAAATGCTCCCAATGAATGCAGCAGCTGTACTGCCGTGTATCACTTGATGCCGTCACAAGGAAAGTGGGCTAAAACATCAAGCCAGGATAAGAAACAATAACATATCTCAAGAAATTAACCAGACCTACAATAGCAAACTTTTCAAAGATATCAGAAGCAGTGTGTGTAACAGTTGTACTATGAAGAGTACTGTTATTCGGCTATGTTGGTTAAGTGAAGCAAGCATTTAGCCTGGATGCTTAATTATTCCCAGGCGACTAAATCTCAAGGTCAGTTAAATTTTTTTTGGAAGACCTATGTTCTCTGATGATAAAGACTATGTCAGCTCCTTAACCCTGGCTTAAGTCATGCACATTCAGGGCTTGAAGGGAATAAAAAGTTACCTTCTTTTTCTCGATGTTTCTAATTTTGTGTTTAAGGCATATGAGTCCATTATCGATATAGGTTTCATACGCCTGGGAAGGAGCAGCAGCAGAACTGAGAGTAGACTGCAGAGGGCTCAGGGCCTGCTGTCTTTCCCCGTGCTGACTGTGGTTCACATGGGGCTTGGCTGACTTCATATTTCCCACTCGTCCCTCCTCTGAATGGCCTGAAGGTGACTGGTAATCGAAAAGGAATGAAAAGAGTTGTACCACTGAAACAGATGATGCTGAAGGATCGGGGATGCGGGGGGGGGATGGTTAAGTACAAATGTATACTAAAGGTTCACAGCAGCAACCATTATCTCTGGAAAACGTCTCTTTAAAAAGTTCTTCCACAGAAATGAACTCAAAACACAATGGTGCTTAATTCAGTGTTCTTGCACTCCCCTACTAAGATTACTATTGGTCACGGCCAATAACACGCAGGCAAAATTTACACCACACGAACGTTTCCAGAAGGTCCACCCCCCCCGCAAGGAGAACTGCCAAGCAAGCAAAAGGCTTGTGACTTCTCGTCCTGAACAGTTTCTATGGTCATCACCAAGGAAGGGGGGTAGGGGGAGAGAGGGAGTACGACCACTTACTTCCCACATAAGCACCTCTTTACCTGAGCCTTTATATTAGGCCCCCAACTTCAATCTACCTCAAGGTCTAAGTGAACAAGAATGTCAAGTCTCTTTGGCTACCCAGGGCCTAACCAAGTGCATCACCCCTGGACAAGCAGCCAACCAAGACTTCTCACAGACTGCATGCCGAGGTGGCTTCCGGTTGTATGTGCACTAACTCACCACCGCCCACTCCCTTACGGGCAAGCCTTCCACTGCCCGCACCCAAGGACCAGACGCCAAGGTGTCGGGCACTTCACCTCCATCCCAAGGAGCAAAGCCAAAGCCGGACAGCCCCTGCACGCCACTGCTCGAGACCCCCCCAGACGCGGAGCACAGGCTCTGCAAGGCCGCTGAAGGAGCCCGACCCTAGGCGGCTGAGGCACCGCGTCTCTCCACCCGGCGGCGGCCGCGCGGACCCGCCCACCCCGCCGCCACCCTGCTTCACCTCTCCGGCTGCCTCCGAAAGCGCGCCGGAGCCCAGCGCGCTGCGACGGCGGCCGACGCCACCCTACGCTCCCTCCTCCTCCTCCCTCGCGTCCCTCCCCCCGCCCGCCCGCCCGCCCGCCCGCCCGCCCTCCTCAGCTTAGCCCGCAGCGACAGGCGACTGAGAACCCGCGCAACTCCGCCGCTCGCGCCCAAGTCGGCACCGCCAGGCGCGCGCGCGCGCCACTTATGTAGGCCCCGCACGGAGCGGCCACGCCCGCGGACCGCCCATTTCCGGCTCCCCGCCCCGCCCCCCCAGCCCGCGTCTCCCCCCCCCGCCCCTTAAGAGGCTTCGCCTTCCGGTGTCCCCGCCCCTCCCCCTGTAGCGCTCCGAGCCTCCTCCACCCGCCCCCTTCCGGTACCCGGATCTGCGTGGGAGCGGTTCTCCCCGGAGCTCCTCTCCACAGACCTACTACGCTAAGCGCGTCTGCTCACAGCGCTTTCCTGCTGCTGGAGGCCTAGATAGACCCGGCTTGTTTCAGCCAGCACTAGCTGGTTCCGTGACCTTGTCCAGATGATGCCAATCCCCGAGAAAGGGGCAGAAAGGCGTGTGCAGAATGACCAGATAAAAATCACTGTCCACGCTCTAATGGTTTAGGTGGGCGCTTTGAAAATACAAGAGCATCTCTGCCCCTCCACCCCCCCACCCAGGTGATTTTTTGTTTTTTTCGTTGTAGAATGAGGAAGATCACCATTTCCTCTCAGGGGACTCGGCCTGTAAGAGCAGACAGAATGCCCTGGGACAGCCCTACCACAAAAGCAGAACAGATGACTGCAGCGGTTGTGATAGGAGGGTGTGCGGCAAGGCTATGTGTTGCTATGCAACAATTCATTTCTTTGGCAGTGAAACAGCTGGTGAAATTATTTATTGACCTGCATAAAGTTAATAGATGAAGTGAATCAGCTTCTGGGCTGGTAGTGATTCCTGTATCAAATGAAGTTTTAGGGGGGGTGGCTTACTCACTAATCCTAGGAAGGTGGGGACAGGCCTGAGCAAACACACACACACACACACACACACACACACACACAAACACTACCTCAGAAACAAAATAATAGAACTAAAACATAAAACAATGACTTGCCCCCAAGTAATTTCCCAAACAGGTTTTTTTTTTAACCAGGTTTTTTTTTTTAATTTCCCAAACAGAAGAAAATTTAAGTCCTACCCATGAGGCAACAATAATTATTTAGAGCAGCACAGTCAAAAGAACCACAAAAAAAATAAAATAAAATAAAAAGTCACCTTGGCTTTGGCATTTCTTGATTCTATATCCTGCCTCTTACCATTTGAGTTCATCCTGGTAGCATTGTATACCTCTTTCTGTTTTGTCATGTGTATCGATGTTTTGCCTGCATATGTTTGTGTATCATTTGGTTGCCGGTGTCAGAAAGGCACTGTGCCCTCTGACACTGGACTTACAGACAGAGGTAACTGGAAAAGCAGCCGGTGCTCTAAACCACGGAGCTGTCTCTCCTCCCTCCCCTGTTATGTACCTAAATTTTGTGTTTTAGCTTGAATCTCTGAGGCCCGTATATAGCTTGGACATTAGACAAACACATTAAGCTGTCTGTTTCCTGCTCGTTGATAACCAGACCAAGAACACGCTGCTGAACAGAGAGGAGGAAAGCTAACACACATTTGCCACGCAGAATGGACACGAAGTCTGTGATGAGCACACCTTGGGGAAAAACGTAACTGACATATTATATCCGCATTTATGCCTTTGTTAGCCTACGCTAATAATGAGCCTAACAACAGTATTTCCAACCACGGATGGTGGCACACACCTTTTATAGGCACATACCTTTACAGGCACACACCTCCCCGAACTCAAGCGGTGAGGAAGGAAGATGCCAAGTTTGAGTACAGCCTGGACTAACTACAGAGGGAGTCTGATTCCCCACTCCAAAAAAAAATTTCCAGAATTACCATAGTTATCATGTGGGCCATTATATCCAGCTATAACCCTAACTACTCAATAGAAGAATTATTAATAAATCTATTAATCAGACACTAATTGCCTTAATCAATTATTATGAGGCCTTGTCTAGTCTAGAACTCGCTCTGGAGACCAGGCTGGTCTGGAACTCACGGAGATCCATCTCGAATTCTGGGGCTAAAGGCATGTGCCACCATACCAGCTAAGATTAATGTCTGAGGGGCTTATATTTTCCTTCAAATTATAAGCAGATTTCAATAGCTTTGTGTATACTGTTTGCGGGGACTGGAATGAATGTATTACGTTTTGCTATTCAGCCCCCTTGAAGTCCCTCAGGGGAGCAGTGAGTAGTCCCTGGCTGCCAGTTTCCTTGTTCCCTCTCTGGCATCACCTTCCACCTGCCCACTTTGAAGTTCTTTGAATTATTTTTGTGATTATTATCAAGCAGCCAGTTGTGGCACGGGCCTCTGTTCCCAGCATTCAGGAGACTGGGTAGGAAAATCTTTGCAAGTTGGAGGCCAACCTAGTCTACAAAGTAAGAACCTCTATCATAAAAACAACCTAGGAAAATGGCTCAGCCAATAAGTGCTTGCCATACAGGCATGAAGACCTGAGCATGTGTCTGTAAACTAAGCAATAGACAGAGAGGCAGAGACAGCAGCCTTGGGCGCTTGCAGGGCAGCCGTTCCAGCTGAAGTGGTGAGCAGTTCCAGTTTTAGCAAGAGACTCTGCCTCAAAAACTAAGATAGAGGACAACTGTTACCTCTCCTCCCGCACATCCTACTTTCTGTCTGGCTGGCAACTTGGCCCTTCTTCCTAGCATTCTCTGTGGCCCGAAAATTCTGCATAGCTATTGGCTGTTCAGCTTTTTCTTTTTTCTTTCTTTTTTTGGGGGGCTTGGGTTTGGGGTTTTTTGTTTGTTTTTGTTTTGTGTTTTTGAGACAGGGTTTCTCTGTGTAGCTTTGGAGCCTCTCGTGGGACCTGCTCTGTTGACCAGGCTGGTCTCAATCTCACACAGATCCACCTGCCTCTGCCTCCCAAGTGCTGGGATTAAAGGCGTGCGCAGCTGCCGCCACCGCCGCCGCCGCCACCACCACCACCACCACTTGGTGCCCTTCAGCTTTTCATTAAACCAATCTGCGTACACATCTTCGCAGTGTACAAAATGACTATTCCACAACATAAGGGAGCCACCAAGCATTGATCTCTGGCTGACACACACATATGCACACAAAGGAACATGTACACACACAACACATCACAATGATAAAAACCAGCTAGATGAAGGTGTGAAAGCAAGTTCTATATCCCCTGTGGCAAGTGAGCTTTTGACTCTTTGATACAAATGACTCTCCATTTGCGTCATCCATCATAATTTTATTTTTTAAAGTCTTTGGAAATTAGCCTCTTTTAAATCATGCCACACTCATTAGAGCTTTGAAGTGACTGTCTGTACCAGAATAAATTCAGGGAATTATTCGAATAATATTTCCTGTAACCTCAGCATGGAATCCTGAGAGAATGATATTCGTCCTACAGGTTAGCAACCTACAGGACACGGAAAATAAAAGGAAACTGACATGCTGATTTTCAGACGAAATAGAAAAATACACAACCCGTGAAACGTTCTTGAAGGCAGCCAAAGGAAAGCACATGGGTCCCTACATAGGTGTTCATAAAACAAGACATCCCCTGTGGTGGTTTGAATGAAAATAACCCCCATAGGTTCATTTATTTGAATGTTTGGTTCCCAGTTGGTGGACTGTTTAGGAAGGATTAGGAATTATGGCTTTATTGGAAGAATCGTGTCACTGGGGATGGGCTTTGAGGTCTCAAAAGCCCATGCCAAGCCTACCTAGTCTCTCTTTCTCTGCCTGCTTCCTGTGGATAAAATGTAAGCTCTTCCCAGGCAGGAGCTACATAGTGAGCTCTAGGACAGAACAGCTATGCAAAGAGACCCTGTAAAAAAAAAAAAAAAAAAAAGGAGGCAAGTTCTCAGCCACTGATGTAGTACCATACCTTGCTTCCCGCGATGATGGCAAGTTGCCTTGGTCATGGTGTCCCTTCATAGCAACAGAAAAGTAATTAAGACAGCCCAGAAATACACTAAGAGCTAGTACATGCCTACAATCCCAGGGCTTGGGAGGCTGAGGCAATTTTGAAGCAAACCCAGCCAGAGCTACATACAGAAGACCTATCTGGAAGGGGGTGGGGAAGTAGGGAGTATGATCAAGGAAGGAAGGGAGAGGGAAAAAAAAAACAGCAGTCTTAGCCTGTAATCCTGTCCTTAGGAAGCTGAGCCTGAGTCACACAGTAACGGTTTCAAGGCTACAAAAGTTGAACTCATTTAGACTCACAGAGCATTTTCAGGATTCAAATGTGAACTCTCTTGTATATTTATTCTTTCAATTTAATCCCTGATATTAATGTTCTTTGGAGGATAACTGTTTTGGTATTTTAGATAGATACATTAAAAATGAGCACTTTTGTAAAGGAAGGTCTTAATAATTCTAATAGACAAATAAGAAGGCTCTGGCATAGCCATATAAATCATCAGAGTGTTACCATAGCTACAACACGAAAATTTATAAAATTTGCCTAATAAATGGAGGAATCATCAACATGTCAGATTCATCCCTTCGAAACTGATTATACTAGCCAGTTGGTGGTGTGCACACCTTTAGTCCCAGCATTCGGGAGGCAGAGGCAGGTGGATCTCTGTGAGTTCAAGGCCAGCCTGATCTATAGAGCGAGTGCCAGGACAGACTCTAAAGCTATAGAGAAACCCTGTGAAAGAAAGAGAGAGAAGGGGAGGGGGAGAGAAAGAAAGAGAAAGGAAGGAAGAAGGAAGGAAGGAAGAGAGAAAGAGAGCAAGTGAGAGAGAGAGAAAGAGGGAAAGAGGGCTGGAGAGATGGTCCAGCAGCTGAGAACACTGGCTGGTCTTCAAGAGGTCCTGAGTTCAATTCCCAGCAACCATATGGCTCACAACCATCTGTAATGAGATCTTGTGTCCTCTTCTGGCCTGCAGGGATACATACATACAGAACACTGTATATATAATAAACAAAAAATTTAAAAAAGAGGGAGAGAGAGAAAAATCATCCTTTATAACCGGG